GGGCTGGAGATCCTCCTTTTTATATGAAAAGTGAGTTTAAATCCTCTTTAAAAATTCTTTTAACCCCTGAAAAAATCAATCTCCACCTCTGTCTGATCTTTAGTCTTAAGAACGATGAAACAAATTTTTTACATCCTAAAAAATTTTTTGCTTCCATTGAAAAATTTCATGTTGATATTAGTAAATTTCATATTAGATTACTTTCATGTTAATACATCTCCTGACAAACATCCTTGCTAGAAACCCAATTTTTTATTCGCACTCGGACAACTCCAAGAACTCCTGCGACGATATAACAAACTTCACAACGCACGAATATTGAATCAATGTATATCCAACATGTGTGAGAATGAAAATTGTATTCAATTAACTCGCATTTCTGATAACATGAAGCTCTCCATGCGTTGCCTTTCATATCATGTCTATGGATTATATTGTAGATAGAATGTTAATGGCATGTTGAAATTTAGATTAATTCCTGATTGATTTATTGATGGAGGTGTTGTTGTTGTTAAGGTAGTAGATAGCTAGTTTACGATGAAGGTGAGGCAATAATGACTTATTTTTGGGTGACTTTGACAGGCAGTATGGGTAGATTTTTGCAAAAGTGGATATTAAGGTTGACAAAAGTTTTGGAGCTAGTAGAAATTGAATAAGTTGTTAATTAAGGCTGTGATATTAGGTTTGGTACTTGAAACTAAAATAACAAAGCCTTAATTCTTTGAAAATTGGTCAATTTCTGTGGTTTAAACTAATAAATGTATAATTATGTCCATAAAATTCTAAATCACAATATATTTTTTAAAAACCTATTCAAAAGCCCACATAGCCCCAAATATCTATCAACTCAGCAACAAAAATTATTCAATCATGTCTCTTTTAAGTGAAACAATACAAAAGAAAACAATCAACAGAATTAATTTGTAATGACTTTTTCATAATAGAACAAAAAGAACGCCTACATGACAAAAAGAGGACAATAATCATAGCAACAGCTTTAAAAAGCTTCACAATCGACAATTTTTCAACTCAACAATGAAGCTCATAATTCAACATAAAAAAAACGTAAAGCAAATGAAAATTCATTTGTTTTCAATAAATAATGTGAAAATTTATTTTTCAGAACAATTTTAAGAACAAACAAAAATTGCGAACAGAGAATTTAATGAAAAGTTAATTATAATACATTTTCATATTCATTACAATACATTAAAAAATATTTGTATAATGAATTTTCATTTGCTCATCATTGAATATTTCATGATGAAGAACAAAAGGAAAGGCAATTAATTGGCTTCTCTATAGACAACACTCATATACTAAGAGAGAAATCATAATAAAGGGATCGTTGAAATGTCAATAATATTGATGACCTCGATATTCATGCACAAAAACACCCACACTGATTCACACATAATTAATGGAATGGAATTGAGTGTTGAATATTATGGAAAATAAAATAAAAGAAATCCTAGAAACGCATTTTTTTTTGTTTTAAAGCACTAAATTGCACATGTTGTCTTTTAAAAAACATGGGGATGAAGACTAGCTTACAGATTCTATCCCTTCTTTTCTCCTACCAGCTATGCATCTTTAAACTCTTCTGAAAGATGTGCAATAAATGTCCGCGAACCACTTAGTGCCAGTTTCTGGAGCTACTCAGAGCAAACTGATATATCTCGATTCAAGAGTAAATTAGCACCAGTAGCGTTAAAAGCAAGCAACTAGCGCACAATTCAATAACTTTTGTCAAGAAGATGGCTCAATCTGAACAAGTGAGACTCAAAATCTGCTTTTAAATGAGTTGGTAAAGTAAGTGATCTGATAAGATTCGAACTCTGAATTTTAATTAAAAATCAATTCATATGACCTTACCACCAAGTCCTCACCCTCCCAACCATTCCATCCGACTTAAAAACTCTCAGAATTGAGCTACCACAAAAAAACAATCATGCTTCCATTATTGATAATGCAGAGAATGAAAAAATAATATTTATAATAATTACAATCATATCAATTATGAATTTCGATATTTTTTACGGTCCATTCGATCTCCAACATACATAATTGATTACATGCGAGGGTAGATGTAGTTGAGTTCCTGGTGGGAGGAAAAAAAGGCAATTGGAAGAATATTTTTTATGATTTAATTAAAATTCAACGAGCGAAAAATGAAAAGAAATTTTATGTAAATTGTAATTGTAATTTAAGGAGTTTTTTTTTTAAGCTGTGGTTTCAAGTTTTTTCATGATGATGTCTCGAATTGTATGTATTTAATGAGCATCATCTGAAAAAATATGAATTTGCGTTGAGAATAACAATTAATTTTTTGTATAATATCGTGAATTTTTGAGGAGGAGGATATAATTTTAAATTTTCTAGGTTTTTGCTCTTAAAATTCAAATTTTTCTCTCCAACTCCAAAAACATTTTTCCCAACAATTTTAATAAATTTCTGATTTCCTAAACTAAACAATTTTCTGCATGAGAAAAAAAAAAGCAAATTTGAACAAAAATTTTTAATTCATTTAATCTCATCATAACCGCAAAATCAAGAATAACAAATTTTGTGTGCATGTACATTTTCGTCTATGCTCATATGTTTGCATGGGCTTAAACTTCCTCAACATTTTCATATCATCCGGTATTAAATTAAATGTAGACTTAAAGGAGTATAGCATCGAATGATGCTTTCAATTTAATTTGGCTTCTGATATGAGATGGGGGAAATTGTTTTTACAGCAATTTAGCCTTAAATTTTTTAGAAGCCTTCAATTGGGTTAAAGAGAATTTTATTTTTTTAACTTTTTATGGTTTTCATGCTGAGTAAGTTGATTTGGATCGGTTTGAAGGCTTCAGTTCATGATTTGAAATTTTTTTTAAACTGTGGTCTATAAAGTTGTTTCTTTAAATAAGCTGAGCTTTAACAATTTGTATTAAAAAAGGAAATCTATTTTTAGGCAACAATTCTAGTTTACTAGTCAGCAAGGAGAATCAGCGTCTCGTAAATTTGAGTCTAGGAATCAATTTTACTCGGCTTCTAGAATTCAAAAAAATAAAGTCATTTGAGTCCCCCCCCCCCTCCCTCCCCTCCCACCCTTATGCTTAGCTAAACTCAAATTTCAACTCCGTCACAGTTCTCACAAAATTTTCAAACGTTTGCAAACTTATCAAGAATTTAATTCCTTCATGACTATCAAAATAAATTGCAATATCATGTTCACTACTAAAACTTTCTCAAAAACTTTCTCAATCCCCTTAAAATCTGCATAAATTTTACATCCACTTGCTAAAATTGAAATTTAACAAGAAGCAATACAAAATCTTCAACTGGAAATAATTTTAAAATTTAATAGTAAGCTCAGTTTACATTCCATGAGACGTGAATTATTCTCAAGGCATAAATACAGAAGCAATAAGTTTACTCAATCCTCGTCGGTTTAAATTATTTGTATAGACAAGAAGATTTGATGTAACAACCGCATATCCAGCCATGCATGGGAGTGTAAAAAAAAATAATTTTCATCATCAAACAAATCATGAATTTTGAATGTGTCTATTTACTTGAGATTGTGGATTTATCCAGTAAAGTACGATGATGTTCATATGGGAAATAGTTTTTGTGTCTGCAAATATGCAAAAAAAATTCATCATCAAGCTGTGGCAAGGATCTATGCACGTTGGTATATAAGAATTGTTGAGATGACGACAGCACAATTGTTGACGTAAAACTTCACACTTGCCATGCTTTCTTTCTTATTTTTACAGTCTCTCTTTTGTGTATTATTTGTATAACTTTATAAATATTTTCCCAGAAACAGCACAGGGAGTGTGTATTTGCTGCCATAGTTACCGTTACACTCGTTCTTTGTTTGCATACAGAGATTTATTCAAATTGAAAGTAATCTCATGTTTTTTCAGTTATTCATTTTTGGTTTTTTTTTGAAGCTTTTTTGTTGCTTTCTTTATGTTTGTGCTGTTTTAGCAACACAAATAGGATTGAGTCGATTTTGCAGTGGGTTGAATTTAATGAAGAGAATAATATTTCGGATTTTGACTATTCACACCAGGACGTCAGTTAACTTTAAAAATCAAAATGATCTAAAATTTTAAAGGATAGCATCCTCAAGCCCCTACAACCCTAACCCTTCCTTGCAAATCTTAATTCTACCAAAAAAATTTATTTTCATATTTTTAATAAAAATTTGCCTCTTTTCTCTAGAAAAGAACTTACTTTTTTTTTATTGAACTTCAGGTCTTGATAACGTTTTATTTACAGTCGATAATAAAAAAAAATATTTTACGACCAAGCCGTGTTTTTAGATGTATACTCAAAAATTTCATGCTCAATTCTTTGTAAATTTTTATGAATAATTTCCTCAATCAACAGAAGAATTTTTTTCCTACGGTTTTAATTTTTTATGGTAATTTTCACCTTTTTTTAAGGAGGTGGAACTGAAGCAAGTTTTTGTCTTGAAACTGGGAAACTTTGGAGAGAAGTATTGTGAATTAAAGGCAGAAATGTAAGTTTAATAAAAATGATCTCGTTTTTTTCGCACAAGAAGCTTGGGTTCTTTAACAATAAGCCCTTTAGGGCCTTCAAGTAGTATCTATTAAAAACTAGAATGCATTCTTGTAGATGTCTATATATATACTAATGTAAAACAAGTCGGGAATCGAACCCACGACCTCAAAAGAGGCGATCTCTGTACACTCGATCAGAGATCCCTGCAACTCGGCTACAGAGGTACTTATCTCACTTCGGCTATTCTTCATACAAATATAACCAGTTCTACGCGAGTCCTATGCTAAGAACTATCTACTCCAGATATGCTCTTCGAGCCATATCTACAATTCTATTGATTTTTATTCCATAGTCAAAATGACAGCTCTACTCGTCAGGAGCCCAATTCAAATTGTTAATTAAATTATGAATAACAAAATTTAGCTTTAATTCCTATCAATAATGAATCAAAATTAAGTTAAAAATACAGCACTTACCAACCAGATATTTTCGTTTTGTTCTTGCCATTTTCAATGCGTATCTTTAAACACTTCAAGCTGTCAATTTTTTGATAATAATTTCAAAGCAATGACTTGCTTTTAACTGATAAGTATTTGTCAATTTATTGAATTCCTAGCAATCAAAAATTTATAATGTGGTATGTTGTCAATGGGAGCACTTATGAAGCTTTAAAAACTACTTTTCTTATCTTTATTACACAATTGTTTTTAATTTTATAGACTTTTCATCTGATCAAAAATGTTTTCGAATGTTACTGCGATTGTTCAATTGCTATGCAACTTAGAAATTCTTAAAATTTAAATTTATTGATGCACAAATTTCTCGAAAAATCACAAAAACCACTCAAAAAATAAACGACATCGCGCGACAATATGTGAAACTGAATTGAGTCAAATATTTATTTTTTGATAACAGATGCGAAGTTTCTACAAGCCAATATAATTATCTTTATTAACTGCTGTTCGCTAACACAATAACCACACTCAGTCTACTTTACACTTATTAATTAATTGGTAAACGTGATTCTTGTTTGTTTCCCAGAGAACATTTAACATTATTTTGTTTATTTAAATTGTTAGCATTTGAATGCTTTTTAAATACAAAGCACGTCAATAAATGGTCCTAATTAAATTAGTATATGGCTCTGTTATCAAATTAACATCTAACATTCTTAATAATAATTTCAAGTTCAATTTGGATTTGATTTGGTAAATTAAACATTTTTTTGGTTAAGGTAAAGTTCAATGGTCGATTAAATTGATCGATTTTAATCGAATTCGATTTCGAATCAATCGAATTCCAAACAAATTACATCCCACAAAATATACCAATTCCAGTTCCAATTCAATTTAATAATATTTCCATAACATATTTCAATAAACTAATTTATGAGGAAGTGCTTTAAGCACATAAAAAGCATTCATGTAAGAGAACTTATTCTGTTCCTTATTCTCAGTTCCGTCTTCCCACATTCATATTCAAGTAACAGATATTTATCTTTAAATAAATAATATTTTTTCTCTCAATATTTCCATCCTCATACTCGACTGTAGAAAATTGAATTTTCTGTGTCCCTTAAATGCTTTATTTTCTCATTTTTGCAATAAATATCCATGAGGTAAATAAAGTAAATTGGAAATATAAAAATATTTTTTCATAAGAAAATTGAATTACAGACATGATACATCAACAGTCATAGCATCGATTTATTAGCAGACAATTTGGAATTAAATGGACTTACGTATTGATGTGATTATAAAGTTTTTATCAGGGTTTAATTAATATTTGTTATCTGAACATATTGCAAAAGTTTTTCGTATGTATGTAATAGAGAGCACACAAACACAGACTGAAGCTCTGTAAATAAAGCGGCTAGAGTTCTACATTCCGGATTTTGTGGAGGCTTAAAAATGAGAAAATGAAAATTTTGTGTGTGAGAATTTTAACGGAATCGAAGCTTTGATAAGGAAAAAATTAATTTTTGATTTATTGTAAGCTTCTTTTTCTGAAAGTTGGAGGATGAATTGAATAGGAAGGTCATTAATAAGGTTCGAGGGGATTAAGTCAATCATCAAACTCAAAACAATAAAGTTCATCATTAAAATTTTGTTTTTATTCATTCACAAAATCAAACAAACGATTTTTTTGCTTCAAAAAATAAATAAATCTTATTAAGTCTTCAAACAAAGTGAAAAACAATTTTTTACGTAGAATTTCTCCAAAATGTCACAGATCTAAATTTAAATTTAAACGGTAAACATGATCTTTTAACATGTAAATTTCCTTCCTGCGTCGTCGTCTTATTGTCATCTTCCATATCATTTCCTGACGCCCTCAGACTCGATCGATCATCAATTTTCTTCGACATATTTTTTCCGATATCACAACTGCTCCCGCCAATTTTTATCATACTGTTATTTTGCATATAATGGAGGATTTTATCAGCAATAAGACATCGTCCTCTTCCAAGTTGTACACGACATGTGGGGCATTTGATAATTTTCCAACGACATTTCTCGCATACGATGTGCCCGTTTACACATTGATATGTATATGATGGTGATTGCGGTATCTAGTATTATTTTTTTGACAGAGAAAAGAAAATGGAAAATGATAAATTTCTTTAGATTGAATTTTTTTTTTACTTTTGCTGCTGTTTCTTGTGTCGTATCAGAAATTGGCAATTTTTCTTTCAATGACTTGAGACAGGGATGGTACTATTGCCTTATGATTGTTTAATAATGTTGAAAAATCCAGCAACACCCCCCCCCCCCCCCATCCTTTGTTTCGTCCTACAATTATTTACCCAAACCCCACCTCTGTCAACGAGATTTATGATAACCAAAAATATGTCATGGAAACAACAGCATAGATACATGTAAATATCTATTCATGACACACATAGATTCTAGGAACATAACAAAAACTGAATAAATTTATTTAAACATCAATAAGATAAATAATAGTAAGGAAGGTCATGCTGTGATGGAATCAATAATAAATTGCCATTTATATTGAACAATTAATTAAAATAGTTTCATGCTAATGCATAATCATTCAATTTATATTTGATCAGAATAACTAGAATTGATATTGATGAACTGTAAATATTGAGATTCAGATTTTATTGGATTCTGTTTTTGGTCTTGTAAGCAAATTGATTGGAAATTATCGAGAATTTTGAGATGAAATTTCTGGAGAAAGCTCATTTGAGGATGTAATTAATTGTAGGAATAATTTAATTGGCATCAATGTGTTTAAAAGTCTCAATTATAAATATCCCAATATAATTACACAAGATGTCTCCAAGATGCATCAGATCCTACATTATTTTTAATGTTTATAATAGACACAGAGCTGTATCCTGTTAAAAATGAACCATTTAAGATATAGTCACCAATAAACCATCAAAAATTAAATCTAGTAGACTACTAAGTGCCTCATCTCAAATATAATCAAGCTTCAAAATTTGCAAATCTCTTAAAATTCCCACCTGAAAAATCTCGCCTTAAAATCAACATGACATCACATACCTCCATGCAAATAGGACATTCCATCATCTGTAGTATGTTAATAACATCCGATATGAGATTATGAAATAATTGTGGTTGATACCCTTGCTGGAAATAGAGAAGAGACATGAGTATGAATTTCATTATTGCAACATTGTTCAAATACAGGAGCATAAATACACACATGCATGTTATCTTATCGACATCGACATTCTTCTTCATCATTGACATTATATGCAAAAGTTTTCAATTATATTTATGAACAGACACACAATGAGGCACAGTCACTCACACAGGTGATGTTATTTAAGGTATGATAACAGAAAATAGATAAATGAGATCGAAAAGGTTGATAATGAAGTGATGTAGCGGGTTTAGAAGGGAATGGTAAGATTTATAGCTGTATTTGATGATTTTTGATCAATTCTTACATGCACAACTCTAGGCAACTCTAAATAAACTCAGCCATGATTTACCACAACGCATACCTCAATCCGCTTTCCTATCAATCCACGCTAAAAAGAAAATTACCTTCAAGGTACAAATCGACAACAAACATAAAGTAAATTGAGAATGAAAACATTTTCTTAGTCAATTTCCATCGAAATGACATTGTCGGCAATGTGTACAGTACATAGATTTATAATAGTGCTTAGTGGTTTTATTTCCATCATCTCAACCACCATTACCAATGTTGAGAGTGCAAACATTTTATTTCTATTACCAGTGGCATCAGCAAGTCACAGATTGTGGAATAATGTGTTGATAGAGGGTTTGGAGGAGCGAGGACACAACCTTACAATTTTAACTGTGGAAATGGAACGTTCACGTCAAAATGTCACGTATATTTGCATGAGGAATATTTATGAATCGCAAGATGAATTTTTTAATAAGGAAAATGGAAATACAAGATGGAACTTAAAGCAAAAATCTCCGTGGACGGTTATCAAAGAGAACTATCAACTTGGGAATTATTTAAGTAGAAAAATGTTTGCATCTAAAGGCTTCGAGCAACTCCTCAACTATCCAAAGACATTTAAATTTGATGCAATCATATTTGACTATAGCATGGGACAGTCATTGCTTGGATTTGTTGATTATTTTGGCAATCCACCGCTAATTTCAGTCTCACCACATTCTCATCCCTTGAGACTTAATGCCGCATCGTCAATACAAATCCTTCCAAGCTACATTTCACATTACTCAATGTTGTCAACGACGAAATCACTGAGGGAAGGAATAAGCGAAAGATTCATGAATGCATTCATTTATCACACATTCGATTGGTTCTACGCGAGTCACATTTACATGAAAAATGAAAATCATCGTGTATGGAAAGTGTTTGGTGTGAAAAATGAAAAGCTTTTGAATATAGATCATTTGGAGTATTCGGATCTTGTTCTCATAAATAGAAATTTTGCTTTTGATGATATTTTTCCATTGCCACCAAATGTGATTCCAATTGCAGCAATTCAGGCGCAGAGGATTAATGAAATACCAAATGATGTGAGGATAATTTTTGTGGGTTATTTGGTTTTTTTGTGAATGCTTATCAAATTCTCTCATTTCTCTTATAAACTCTCAAATCTCTCTAAAACATTCAATTCTCTCGAAAACGCTCATTTCGCTCATAAACACTCAATTTTTTTTTCAAAATCTCTCAATTCTCTCAAAAACGTTCAGTTCTCTCATAAGCTCTCAAATTTCTTTCAAAAACGCTCAATTCTCTCAAAAAACTTTCAATTCTCTCGAAAACGCTCATTTCGCTCATAAACACTCAATTTTCTTTCAAAATCTCTCAATTCTCTCAAAAACGCTCATTTCTCTCATAAACTCTCAATTTTCTTTCAAAAACGCTCAATTCTCTCAAAAAAACTCCCAATTCTCTCAATTTTCTTTCAAAATCTTTCAATTCTCTCTCCAAAAAGTCTCACTTCTCTTACAACTTACCTTTAAAAGACTTTATCACCTGAAAAATCATTCCGCTCTAAAAATCACAATTAAAAAGTAATTTCCAATTCCATTTTTCATTCAAACAAATTTTTTGCAACCATTCATTGAGTCTGAAAAATCTTTAATCTTTACTGCACATTAAGCTTTTCTGCATGCTTTTATTCTTTATTTGTGTTTGTGTGAATGTGACTATGACTATTGCATTTTGTATGTGGGAAAGCATAAAATGATGTATTTTATATAAACAAACTGAGAACTTTATGTGTATAATAAACATTCATTCATTCGTTTGTGCAGATTTGTTGGGCTTTGTGGTAAAAATTTGATGGAGAGAATTGAAGATTAATGAACTTAAGCTAGGTCTATTGTCATAAGTTTAGATTATTGAGTTAAGCGAGGGTTATTGCCCTAAAATTTTTATTGAGTAAAATAGAATGAGTTCATAATTGTCACGTTCATTGACGAATTGCAATAATTTTATTATTGATCACGTACTTATTGTGATATTAGGAGCTGTTTTATTACTTAATTGCATGTGTTTTGTTTGTTTTTGGAATATCTAGTGAAGGAGACAAACTATTGATGTCATTAAATCTAGTTTAAATCTAGTAAATCCTTAGTTGCTCAAAGATTGGGTAGTTTGAGCATTCAAATGTATATCCTAGAAATAAGTATAATTCAAGCCTTTCCTGATTTAGAAAACGGACCCATCAACTTTTCACCTCCAACCATTCATAACAAAAATACAAACAATTCACATTTATGAAACATTAAGCAAATATTCTCATTCATAGGATGTCATCACATTCATTGAACATTCAGAGAAACCAATTATCCTCTTCACAATGGGCAGTTCTATGTTGGCAGAAGATTTAGGATACGAAATAATGCATGAGATAATGAATGCCTTTCGAGAGCTCAACGACTTTAGCATCATATGCAAATGCAATGAAAAATTTATCAGAAAATCTTCTCGACCACAAAATGTTTTATTTGTTGAATGGATGCAGCAGAATGAAATATTGAGTATGTCTAAGATTTTCTTCACATCAATTAAAGTCAAAAAAAACAAACTTTTCTTTTCCAGGAAATCCAAAACTTCATCTTGTCATCACTCAGGGTGGAATGCTGACAATTCAGGAAGCAATTTGGCACGCAAAGCCAATTCTCGGTCTACCAATTCAAATCGATCAACATCGAAACATGAACAGAGCAATTGAATTGGGCTTTGCTGAGTCAATCAATGTCCGTAATTTTACAGCAATTGAAATTGTCATTAAGGTTCGAATGATTATTGAGAATCCAATCTATCATGTGAATGTGAGGAAAGCATCAGAGCTCATGAAATGTCAAAGTCCATTGAAGCCGAAAGAATTGGCAATATTTTGGATTGAGCAAGTACTCAAGCATAAAGGACTTAGACACCTGCAATCAGACGCAAGATTCTTTAACTTCTTTAAGCTCTACTTGATAGACATTATCACAATCATTGTCATAATTTTCCTCATTTATATTCTCCTCATACAATATCATATCATTAAGGGATGGCTGCTATGGAAACAGAGAAGAATAAATGAGGACAAAGTCATGAACGAAACAGATAAATTAAAAAATGAGTGATTCATGATGAGAACTGCTGAATAAGTAGAATTATAATAGAATGTAGGAGAAAAGAAGGCAGAACATGAATGAGAATGTAAGTCATTGACAATAAAGAAAAGAATGAGAATAATGCGTGTAAGTGCAGCTATTTAAAAAGATTTTCATTCATTCTTTTGTACTGTTTATGATTTATGTTGTGAGAATGACTCAGGTTGATTTTTTGAGTCTGGTGACACAGATTTGATGTTATATTGGATCTATAAATCAAGGCATTTTAAAGATTCTTCCTGGATCCCTCCTAGACACTAGTTCCCTAATATGAGCTAAAACCCAATCTCTTCTACTTTTCTGTATCAGAATGCTAGCACATTACGCATGAAGCCATAGAAATAATCATTAGCATGAAATGAATATGCAGCTTTAAATGAATCGACTGTGATGCTTTGCCATTTAATCCCCTTCATTATAATGTTGCTGTGGGTGTTAAGCTTTCCAAATCCGTGGGATTTCACACAATTTCTAAGTTAAAAAGAACTGTTACCTTAACTACCTTAGTAAATTAAATTCACTGGAATCGCAATTCATTTTTTATAGACTTGTAAGGCTTGAATTATTTTCATTTGTCTGATTGTACTTTATCCCATGTCATCATCGTTTTCGAACCAAAATTTACACAAGCATCCATTATCTACATCTTTGCACTACTCATCCACTTCCATCGTTCTACAAACAATTCGAATCAAAATCAATTAATCCATTACTTTAAAGACATTTCTTAAGCACGAATTACTTATTTTGGATAAAATTCATCTCCACGTGTAGGCAAAGCAAGCACTTTTGTTGAGAGTAATTTTTTTTTTTCAAGAGACTCAAATTATTTATGAAGGTCGAGGCATGCTGATTCTCTACATTATGAAAAGGTTATTCATTCATTTTAAGAAAAGGATAAAATTAGAATTCTGAAAGCGGATGTGGACCCAAAAAAAAGAATGAGAAGTAATAAGGTAGTAGACAAATTTTTGATAGATAAATCGTGACAATGAACTCACGTTGATGGATATCTTTATTGTGGAGCAAGGGTGACACTCAAATTAATCCCTAGCAATGTAATATTAGAAGCTTTAAGTAGATTTGTTTGAGAATAATGGGATTTATGCTTGAAAGTTGAAATATTGCTTATTAAAAGGTTTATGAATAGAAAGTATTGTTAGACTAGGCGCAGCCTTTAATTAATGAATTAATTTTACAAATTGTTGCTGTAGAAACTGTAATTATTCAAGTGCTCAAATCTAATTACCAACCACTATTACTTAATGGCTGTCGAATGGAACGCTTTGAAGTTCTAAATTTACATATTCAAACTTAATGGACTAGTCAAATAAAAGGAGCTGTTGTTTAAAGTACTTCATTAAAAATAAATTTGAAGAATGTTTATTTGGTTGAAAACTCAAACAGAACTTAACGGATGAGACTACATTTTTAATACCTAAGGTAACAATCATTATCCATTCCACAAATCACTGCTTCATTAAATCCTCAATTACAACATTGTAGTCAAATTCTATCCAGTTCTTTTGTTCATCTATGCTTACTTAGAACCGCAATTAACTTAATCGCAAAATTTAAATCAATCAGTCTTAATCGCTTGACTTCAGCTAGAAACCTCAACTTTAATTACATTTTCCTCATTCTAATTTGAGGGCTGCTAATAAAATCGTTTTTCCATTCCGCTTGCCACAATCACCAACAACTTAGTGAACGAATGACACTGACCTTCACGAATATAGAGAAATGATACAGACTTGATCTTGTTCGTGAATGAAGGCTCATATAAGCACTTAATATTTTCTGCGTTATGATTTCCGCAATCATTTTAAATAATGTGTTTTGTCTTATTTACAAAGTATTCTTATAATAACTTCATAGATTATTTAATGTCACTGATGTGCAAAGCTTGTAGCACATGTTAGAGCTGATTATGTCGATGATCTCATCAAAACAAGCTTTAAACTCATCCGTCAATATTAAGTTGTTTATTTATATTTTATTGTCTGTGATTGACTTACAGTTTTGATTGGATGTTTGAGAATATATTTCAGTAAATAAACTTGTGTTAATCACAAGTCATTTCCATCCTTAATAGTTAGTAAGCCAATGATCTTCAAACATTTGTGGCATCATTAAACTTACAAGTAGTTTTTTAATTGCCAATAATGCAACCTTGAATTACGAATTGGATTACCATAAATGATTTTTTTTTTACAATTTCAAGTTTTTACGGAGCTATGGATCAACACGTTTTGTATTTAACACGTACGAGTTATTTTTAGAGCAGCTTGTAATGTTAATTATTGTATTATGATTGTTTTGCTTGTTAAATACGGGTATGGGATTTTTTTTAATGAAGATACTGCGAATTTCCCTGGAAACTTTTCATTAAAATTCCGAAAGTTTGTAGATTAGATGTGATGATCTCATTTGAATATTCCAGAACTCCAACAGTCATCAATTAACACTCAAAAATTGTCAAATAATTATTTCAACACATTCACACTTCAAATTGCACCAATAACTCTTTCAGACATAACCACAAAAAAAACTATAAAATCAAGTCCATTCAATTGTCTGCGCCAATTGCATAAAAAAAATCCACGAACCATTTCAAAATTAAAGGCACACGAGTCACACATTTTACGAAGCAGTAATAAAACTAAAGAGTGTGGAAACTGCAACAGCAGCAGCACCACCAACAAACATTCAGTTCACTATTTTATGTTCATTCAATAATGTGTGCAGCTTGACAAATGTATGTATGATAGAGAATATAAGAGAGCTTGCATACTTGCGAGTTCCTAGCGCGCCATAACAGTAAATTGACTTCATTGTTGTCATCATCTGTTTTATTGTGTATTTGCTCTGCTATTTCTTGTATCCGCCAACCCAGCACATCTTGTCCATTAACCTTCAAAGTTTTTTATATCGTTTTATTAGTTTTTTTTTTAAGTTGTTCTTTTCTGCTTGTTGTTGAGCGATTTTTTTGAGCAGGATGGGTGATTGGGATTTGTCGTTTTGGGGACGAAGATTCGGTTAAAAACTTTGACAATGAATAGAGATATCATGACTAGACTAAACTGTAAAATAACTACATTACAAGATTCTAAACAGTTTAATCCAATCGAAATGTCAAAAGGTTCAATTTAACTTCCTCACTGACTTCCATAAACAACCAAACACTCTTTGATCTTTTCATAATTCAACCAAATAAAGCAAGCAAGAGAAAGTATTAGCAGCTGTTTACATAATAAACATGATAAGTTTATGCAAATTTTGCGGAGTATGTCACGTGTTGATTGAAGATTTCGCAACCAGTATTATTGGTAAGCTGTTGGAATATTGATGAACATATTACGATGTAGAAAAGATTGGAAATGTTAAGTTGTTTGATGGAATGACGTAAAATTCAGTGATTGGGAAGATTTGAGGGCTTTAAATAAATGTGAGCTAGCTTCCGAATAAGATTGTTGTCTAGTTCTTCAGATAATTGAATACTTTAATTCCGACCAATGAATCATGGGTTCAAGACTCAATAAGTTCATAGAATTTACTTTATTTTCAAAACTAATTTAATTGGCACCAAAAACTTTTATCCTGCTCAAAAAAATGCGCCTTCAACAACACAAAACTCGAGTTTCAACTCTCATACTCCGAGCGATATGCTTTGCAAAGCGCCCGTCCATATTCTCACAGTAGGAACTAAATTCCAAAATAATAACAACACAATACCTTCAATAAACAATCACCAATTTGTAAGTCGTGCTGCTGTTCTCTCGTTTCATCGACAAAACTTATAAACGGATATGGATCCCATGAACTTTTGCTTAGTTTTATACCCAAACCCTCAGCACAGTTTTCAATACAAATTAATTTCAAATTGGAATTATTATTATCATGACATTCACTCGTCCCATCCTTATGCTCCATAATTTCATTCATTGTTGGGTTGTTATCACATATCTTATCCATTACGTGTTAAGTATACACATATGTGCGTATGGAACAGCTCTTAAGTGGCAAATTTTACACTTGAGACAATTTCAATCTGTTCTAATCGCTATTTAAACATTCACTTTAATTGATTTTTCTTTTCTTTGTACTTTATTTTGTGGGATTATAAGCAATTTGTGGTGGTTGACATGTATAGACACTCACGCAATTTTCTATTAATCTCTCTGCGAAATCAACTCGATATAAACTTTTTTTTTTGATAGCAAAAAAAATCGCTTGAATTCACCAGATATCAATAGCTTCGCGCAGCGCGTTCACTTCCCTTCAAAATCGAACAATCTATATGAAAACTGAAAAATTATTTCTTACGGCAAGCAGAAAATAAAATATAAAATTATTAAATCCTCTCTCTTAATGCAGAGCTAAAGCTACAAAGTCGAGAAAAAATCACGTATGACTCTTTAAGCCTCCCCACCACATACCAGCAACCAGAGAATAGCACATCTCTATTCTTCTTTTTTAGTATTTTGAGTCTGAACAATTGCATGACGAGAATTACCGCATGTTATTTGCACAAGTCATAGAACCAACGGCAAAGCTATTACATTACTTAACAGAAAAAAAACGTGTTTTATTGCTATTACCGTAATCGTATTGATACTTAATATATACATTTACTTCTTTCTCCAATATTTACAGCAACATGCTGATGTGTGGCGTGTACGAGTAAAAGGTAAATTGCATATCTAAACCCGGAAATAATGTCACAGTCTTAATAATATGCTGGCTTGCTTACTTTTTTTTTTTTTTTTTTTTTGTTTAAAAGTTCATTTATTTATATCAAACTTAAAGTTGTGTTATAAATTTATACAAATTAATTATTGCAGAGAGAGAATAAAAAACAAATTACTTCATATTCAATTTAATTTAATTAGCATCAAAATACAATTCCAAATAGTGTTCTCTCAAACGATTTTTAATAATGCTCAATGAATGAAAAGCCTTTATCTGCTGTGGAAGATTATTGAAATCCGCAAATGCTCTAATGTAAAAATTCTGCGCTCCTTGACTAGTGCGGCACATTCTTATTGTGAAATTTCCTCGATTTCTTGTCGAATGATTATGAATATCGCTACCTAATTGTATTTCGACATTATTTTTAATTAAATTCGATGCAAATTTAAATACTTGAAGAGAGCAGTTTGTTTTACACATTACAGAGACTGGCAAAAGTCTAATGCTATACAATATCTCCTTTCCAGCAAACCAACTTTTCCTCAATACAATTCTTAGAGCTTTTCTTTGAAGAATCTCAAGAGACTTCATTTGACCAACTGAAAGACAAGACCAGACTGTACTCATATAACCTAAATGTGACTGCACATGTGCATAGTATAAATCTCTAGCTGTTTTTTCAGATATGAATTTTCTTGCTCTTCGTAACGCGTATATAAACGGAGTAATTCTTTTCTTAATTTCATCGACATGACATTTGAATGTAAGCTGTTCATCAATGATAAGACCTAGCAGTTTTATATTTTCAGACCTTTCTATAGTCGTTCCGTTAAAAGATATGTTTAATGCCCGCTCTGTAAAGCTCTCAAATCTCTTTCTTCCTTGAAATAAGACATATTGTGTTTTCTTAGCATTAGGACTAAGAAAATGATTACTGAGCCATTTGTGAATAAGCATTAAATCTTGTTCTATATTTGCTTTCATTTCTTTTGTATCATTTCCAAAATTGACAATTGACATGTCGTCGCAGTACAAATATAAATTTCCATTTAATTTCAAATTGAAGACACTATTTATGTATAAATCGAAGAAAGGTCCTGATAGTACACCGCCCTGAGGCGATCCTACATTAATTATTAGAAATTCACTTAAATTTCCATCAATACTGACTGCCTGCTTTCTCCCATAAATGTATGAGATCAGCAAATTTAGAAAGAAGGGATCAAGAGCTAATTTACGCAATTTTTGAATTAAAATGTTAAATTGAATGCAATCAAATGCTTTACTTAAATCGATGCATGTAAGAGAAACTGTCTTTCTTTCATCAACGAATCCATAAATATCATTGAGAACATGTGTTACCGCAATTTCGCAGTTTGATTTTCTTACGTAACCAAACTGGTTTTTATGTATTATGCTATTATTATCTAAATGAGTTTGAAATCGTCTATAAATCACATACTCAAATATTTTGCCAAAGATAGGATTTATGGTTATTGGTCTATAATTATTGCAAGTGGTTTTACTTAAGCATAAATATAGAGTTGGAGAAAAGACATTCAAACATGCTGCTATGCTGAAACCATAAGTTCACATTTTGTGAGGAGGAAAACAAACTATAAAAAAAATTATTGAGAGAACACAAACAGAGCACAATCTAGTGAGTTAGTAGAGAAACGAGAAGTAAATTAGAGTCGAATAGCTTAAGAAGAAGACTAATGAGAGGAGAGTGAGAGATGTGATAGTTTTGTGGCAAAAGACCTTTTTTCGTGACTTAGAAGCGGTGATTTAAATGCATACAATTATGATTCAGATTAGAGAATGATGAGGAATAGGAAACTTGTAGTAGGTACGTCCTACAATTTGGCTGTGGGATAGAGACCTAGAAAATTGACTCAATATCTCTATTTTTCCTCTGACTACGCTTCTGGTTTTCACAATAGTCTGAAAAAAATTTCCTGATCAATTATTCATTTACGTACAACTTCATTTGCCTAAGCACTTGACTCATCATCCAACTATGGAGTTCCCGATAAACTCTCAATATTTATTAACACAATTTAAATGAGCTTCTCAGAACAAATCTCGTTAGAATAGACATCATTTGTTTAATAACTACGTCATGCAAATTATAAGTCGGAAGTATGAACCAGAAAATTTGTCATTTCCTAAATCATTACTTGAAGTATTCAATTTGACATTGTATTATTAAAGTGCCATTAAACTTGCAATAAAAAAAAAGTTAAAGCTTTAAGTTTTTTCACGGTCATGTCTGCTTATTGTTGTTGAAGTATTGAAAGTGGATATAAAGAAAATATTAAGTGGTGTTATGATGATGCTGTTATATCACGATTATTATTCATTGTTTAACGATGTGTTAAATGTAACAAGATTCGACATGATGACAAAAATGAAAGTGTCAATAGACACTTGAGTTGAAACATTATACGCGAATTATGTGTTTTGCTTCATATTGTTATCCCTGAGGATATTGTGATTATTATCAAATAAATTTGCAATTGAACGAGTTTATAAAATTAGACATAATGTTTTTAATTTGAGACTAAGGTTTGAAGGAGGTGATTATTAAAGATAATTCTTGTATGTAGACTTATTGTCAAACTTTGTTTATACTTAAAAAGCTCAATATTTGATAAACACAAGCTTTAACAGTACAATAGAGGTTCGAATCCTATTTGCTGAAAATTTTGCAATTTTTTAAATTTAGGACTGCTGTTTTTTTTTTTTGCTACAACGATAATTAATTGTTGTAAATGCACAAATCCTTAATTACACCTAAATAGTCCCTCATTGTTCATCTTAAATCAGTCACACAATGCAGAACAGTCTCAAATGAACGAGGTATGCAACAATAATGCAGACTATTCACAATAATATCGTGATTAAATTTGCAACAGCATCACATTCACCCATTAGAGCTTCAAAAGTCTTCATACAACTTTAATTATTAAATCTTGTTTGTTTGCTGCTGCTGTGCTGCAAATTATGTGATGTCTCATGTGGAGTATTAAAATGGATTTTAAAGGTTTAAGGAATAAAAGTTGGCACATTAAAGATGAATTTAAATTAAATTTATAGACACTTCCTGCTTAACACATGATGCTGTGCTATAATTCAAAATTAATAAGCTTTATTGATTGTTTAGAAATGATCTTTATTAATCTTTATGTATTGAATGTGTGGATAAAGTTTATGGAATTTAAATTAAAATATAAGAATTAAAACTGATGTTAAGTTCTCTTGACCAATTAAAAGAAAATCATTCAGTTACTCCTGCCTGCATCTTCTTCAAATCTCCAATCTGTTCATTCATTTTAATCATATTATGATGTATGAATTTCATAAAGTATCGAACATTATCTTCAGCATGAGTTTCGCGTTTCTTGATCAGCAAATTGCACATGTCTTGAAGTATGTCTCTAGATACTGTCATTTCCAGGCCCAAATATTTCAGAATATTTGGTAAGAAGTCGTTTGTAATACTTTCTTCATTAGACTTCAAGACATTTCTACTTGAATTTGGTTTCAAAATAATTGTTCCATCGGGAATGGTGTCAGGAAATAAAGAGATGATTTTTTGAAAAGTTTCCGATTGTGCTGAACTTCCATTGAATATATTCAATTCGTGTTGATACATTGTTAGGATCCTCTCATTTAAGTCAATAAGCTTTGCATCACAAACAATTTCTTGAGTGTCAGATATAGCTAAAGCATTGAGTAGATTATAAAGCACTATAGTGACAACAAATAGAAACAGCATAAATACTCCAATGTAGGTAAAGCTTTCTAAATAAATGTCACTTGCATCTAGTTCACCTGTCAGCATCACAAATGATTTAATTATTGAGGATCTTAATGTATAAAAGTTATTGAATCTGTCACTTCTTGACGTATTTGTTGGGATTTCAATCATATCGTCCGTGAAGTTTTTATCTCCACAAACTTGAAGGTCCATCCAGAATCGATCCCCATGAAGTGTATGAAAGCTTAAAGCAAATCCTAAAATGATGACAGAATAAATCGCAAGTGACTGCAGAAAAGTCATGAAAACCTTCTTAAACATTTTAATGTGAAGTGAGATCGACACTAGTGGGAGAAAGCCAAGGAGATTGAAGCATTCCCAAGTTGACAGAAGTATTATGATTGTGTGCAATATGCGAAGAAGATCTCGGTTGGACACTAGTTCCAGTAAAACGCATGTTGATGAAGTTATTAAAGTTATGTCAATGCAGTTTGAAAGAAATTTGAAGTATCTCATAGGTGATTGAAGGAATTGCATAATTTCGCGTATTGCCAGCATAAATAAGCTAATGCATGAAAATATGAAGAGTAAAAGGTGATTTGGAAGTTTATAATGTTCACTTTTTGGAGTCTTTCGATGGATTACGATAAAAGGTATGAATGTCAAAATGAAGAACAAAGTCAGTAACAAGTTCAAGTACAAAGAGAATCTTATCTTTTTCCATTTAAGGCACACAAACGAGGAAATCACTGGATGCATGATTAAATGCTTGTAATGGTCATTTTTTGTGAGCATCTTCAATGGACTCATTTCTGGAGAATATTTATTTGATGTTTTCTCACTTGGATATGCTTCAGGCAGGCCTTGTTCGTCATTATTTAAACAGTGGTTTGAAAAAAAATTATTAATTTTTAATTTTTGATGATCATTAAAAACTGAATATCTCCGTCCTAACTTGTTATCAACATCCGATGTCGGCATTAAAAATTTGTAATTGATTGATACTTTAAAGTCCTTATTGTCATGAAATTCATTATTAGATGTGGTGCAACTGTCGAGAAAATCTTTAAATAAACTCTTACGGATTTTTGTAATCACTGGACCAATAAATGCACCCTTTTCTAATAATTTCATTGTCATATAGTCGATTCCATATCCAACAGAATAGTAAATTGCAGGATTGCCATATTTACCAAGTGTATTTAAATAGTTTCGATTGCATCTGGGATCATTAAGTAAAAGATCAAAACACTTTTTTTGATCAACAGTCAGTTCGATTTTCTTTTGCTTCGAATCAAAGTCATAAAAGAAATTATGAAGTAAGGTTCTTGAATATTTTATTTTTTCGTGATACAAACTGACTCTCGTGATTGGTTTTGCCAGCAAAAAAGATTTAAACACCCCCAAATCTGCATTCTTGTACGCTAGAAATATTGATGGAATTTTTTGTTGACTTTCTTTCGAAATTCTATTGACATCAATTCCTTTTGCAATCAAAAGATCCACAATATTGATAAGTGACTTGCTGACGGCTACTTCTAAATATTTCGATAAATTGTCCAAATCATTATGAAAATCACAAAAAGTAAATTTTGTTTCAAATTTGTTAATATTGCCAATTTCAAGCTGATTAAGCATAGCTTCGTGGATAAAGCTAAAAGGTTCATCTTGCGGGATGTCAATTAGATATTTATCTTTCATCATCTCAACAAGTTCACTGCTTTTGTGGGTAAAAAAGTCAATTTCTGAATTTTTTACAAAAAAATCTAAAATTTCATGTCCATTTTGCAATTCGTTAAGCTTTTTAATAAAAAGATAAAACGGTGTGTTTTGTGAATTGTCAGGTGAATTAGGGTTGCATCCGTAAGAAACCAATATCTTAATCATTTTGAATATTTCATCCACATTTTCATTACTAAGATTATCAATTAGTAAATGCAGGCTGTTCTGATTTTCACTATTCTTAACATTTACTGAAGAAGCTATCTTTAATTTATATACAGCAGTAGATTCTTTATTCCATAGAGATTTCTCGACAGTTTCCAAATTTCCAACACATTTTGATCCAATGACATGATGTAATGGGTATTTATGTTTATTGTTTTGCTACGGAAAATAATTATTCATTAAAAATACAATTTAGTCATTTTAAAAAGTGATAAGTAAGCCATATGGTCCTGTTAATAATTAATGAGTTACAAAAAAATCACAGCTTCAGCGAAAATGATAAGGATTAAATAGAACTTAGACAAATCATCGGTTAAATAAATATAATAATAATGTGTGAAGGGCCCAGCCTTTCAGCTGGAGGCACTGCGATTCAATTTATAAAGAATCTATTGTACTAGACCCTTTAGACCTACAGTTTATAGTGGGATCTGAACCACTTGCAGTTTCTTCACATTGCAAAGACACGAGTCCATCATAAGACCTGATGTACCCTGCTGCAATGTACCTAGTCACAATTCGTGTGAGTAAGATGCCGTAAGGAAGTCATCCCGATGCTAGTATATCCTTATTTACCAAGCAAAGGAGGCATATTCTATGCCAAATACATCAATACTACACCCAACACACGAACCGAGCTTCGTAACTAGAACGGTGAAATGGAAAGAGAGCTTCGAAAATTAGACATGGCCTGGGATTGAACCCAGGACCTTTGGCACGGAAGGCTAACGCCTCTACCATTTAGGCCACTGATGTCATTTCACCACTTTAAATAAATATAAATGAGCACATATTTACCACCAAAAACTCTGCACCATATTCTAAGCACTTCTGAATAAAAGAAGCAGAATTGGGTGTTCTTAAAATAACTTCAAAAATTGTCAATTCAATTTCTGCGACGTGATAGTTTGGATCAGCTTGGTAAACTTCCAGCGCTTCTATAAATTTATCCAACTTTCGATCGATAAATGCTTTATATAAATCGGTATTGTCAAGCATTTTTAACAATTAATTTATTAAATTTTAAGAATATTAAGTGGTTGTTTTAGCATCTGTTTTAATGAGCTTTTACTTGAATTATGAAAACTAGAGCAAAAACTGTTTTTGAGCAGATATAATGGGGATTGTTTGGATATTACGTGATCAAGCACCTCTACCTTGCATCTTACTTATTTTTTAGTCCTTTGTCGACTTAGTTGCACCTAGACCCCCCCCCCCCCCTTTCCGCTCATAAAATCGTATCCCTAACCAATGAATAGCTCCATTAAATTTGAATCAGTTTAATTTCACATCAAATTTTAAGACTGAATCATTTGATCGTCATTCACACTGACACATTGTGTTCAGCTACACAAAATTTAATTTCATGAAAATTAATTAATTTTCATTTTCAATTACCTAAAACTTTCCACTCAGGATGATGAAAAAATTTCCATTCAATAATTAATAATGCATTAAAGAGCTTAAAGCTCTGAAGTTCTGCCCATTCACAGAAAATTTTTCCACTCACATCGCTAATCTCTCAATTTCACATCTTTAATACCTGGATCTGGAAAAAAATATTGATAAATTGATAACAATCAATCTTAATTAAGATTTATCCAGCAACTTTTTTTGTGTGATAATTCACTTATGAAATTTTAACATTTCCACCTGTCACACGTACTGTGGCAAGATTGATTTTCATTTTAATTAATATAGACAAAAATACATCATCAAGTGGATAAAAAAAATCTCTTAAATAACACAGAAAAAAATTAATTAAGCCATCCTCGTATATGCTCACAGTGCAGTTAATTAAAAAATGAAAAATGCACGCAGGATGATTCAAGCATCATACGCCTTGCCATGGAAACAATATATAAATAATGAATAAATATAAAAAAAATATTTCATGTACTAAGTGAGCTCCGGCGACTGTTAATTGTAAATTTAATTACTATATATCCTCGATCCTTTTGATGGACACCTGCAGATTAATATCATCACCGGCAAACGTTGCCTGAATATTATCGTCGGTAAGTTTAATTCCACGTTGTGATGTGAATATTTCCTAGGAAAAGAGACATAAAGTGTGATTATTATGATACAAGGATTGATACCAATAATATAATCAGAATGGATATTGACGCATTTGGTACTCAGGTGAAAAGTTTTAGTCATCTGAGTCCAGGATTACTCAGAAATATTCTGGATGAAGTTGTAATATTCCACCATTACCCCCCCCCCCCCCCCCTCAACCTTACTCCCATCTATAGCTCTGCTGATTACTAGAGCTGGTCACATACTCAAAGATCATGAAATATTGTAGGAAATTTAGCATGATCAGGTGTAAACATCAAGGAGCACTTCAAGTTTTTATTGACTAGAGGCTAGATAACATTTGTTTGGCTAGATCAAACCTTGTTGTAAAAAACTTTGGTGAAATAAAGCTAAACAATAAGTCTAACTTCTAGCTGCTAGTAAGCAACACATCAACAAGCCCTAACAAACAGTAGCGAGAACTCAGTCAATATCAACCAATTTATCACACAACCCCTCAAAAAATCAGTTAAAAACATTTTTTCCATGTAATCCTGACGTGTTGAAAACAAAATAATAAAGAACCAAAAAGAAATACGAAAACAGCATAGGAAAAAAAATTAATTAAATTACCTGCCACGACGTGCTTTCCAGCGAGTAAATCTCATTCCGATTTATCAACTGTACACCGAGAATTTTATTGCCAACTTTTCGAATGGCAATCTCGAGAATGTATTTTGTTGTGTAATCGAACGATGCTTGCATTAGACACGAAATGAATAGGTCATTATTTCTGTATGGATGTACACAAAAAAAAAGAAGTAAAATGAAACAAAGCAAAAAAAAACAATTTGGAATGAAATTTTATAGCTTTGCAGAGAGTCATAAAACTTTCCAAAAAAAAGGATAATAACAGTTAAATACAGGCTGAATGTACAGCACCGAAAAACTTACGTAACATTAGCCACAACTTTCACCCAAAATTGTTTTTCATCGAGCTGTAAAATCAATGACGCATTCTCAATGGGCAATCGTGGTGGTAGAGAAATTTCCGCACTTGATGTTCCGAAAAAAATTGTCGGCAGGTGATGGATGGAATTTACATGCTGTATCAATTCTGATGCTTTAAGCTTATCTTGATAGCAATGTTCACTGGCTGGACAATAAAAAAATTCTTGATTGGCTTTTGAGTTATTGTCATTGCTTTGAGGCATGAATATTGGCAAGCTTTCAGATGAAACATTACATGAACGTGGGCGTTGAGTGCCCAAAAGGCTTCCATATGAATTCGATAGCTCAGAGCCGAGATTTCGTGTCATTGATGGACATCGAATAACTGCCGTTTGAGTTGATTCCGCACTAGAAATAGAAAGAATGAAATCAAAAAAATGCTTTGTGGTGATGAGGGTTAAGTTATCGATCAATAATAGTCATAATATCCATCAGAAATGTCCAGCTTATGATTTTTTTATCACAAAACAATTTTGTTTAATGTTTATGGGAATTTCTGTCATTTTCTTCTTTCTTCTACATGATTGAATTGTTTATTTGGATGTTGTTACAAATGAAATTGTTACAACTGTTGATTCGTAATGCTAATGTCCATCAATCATTTCTTGAGAGGTGTTTGGTTTTATGGGTTTGAGAATCAGTAAGCTTAAGATTGAGATTTTACAAAAGTTTTGATTTTTCAAGATGATGAAATGTAAGAAGCATGTTTTCATTCGGAATCGAAGCTAGAATTTTTTCAGATTTGTCTGTAAGGCTGATTCTCCCTTTATCGTATTTTTAGATCACGAAAAAGCATTTATAGTCAATAATCCAAAACAAATCTAGACAGTCTTCCAAAGAAAAAGCCCACAACATTTTTATATGCACGCGATCCACCAATTTCTAGGTATTAATGAGAAAAGTCCCACTTTATACAGCAGAAAGTGAACGTGATTCGGTAGAAAGGTCAGAGCTTAATGCGATGTCTGTGCAGAATTTTCCTTACATCCGAACACATTATTATGATGAAAACCTTAAATGCTTTAAAAGAGCTTCTAAAAGGAAGCTCTTAAAGCTTCCTCAAAAAATCATCTTAAAGCTAATTTCACTTTCCATGTCTACATACCGAGGAAAAACATTACTCGCTGACTGCGACAAAACTTTGTTCCTTATCATTCCACTTTCTTCCTCGTTGTCAATCTTCTTGCCGCTTTTTTGCTGACTCAGACTTTCCATTGACGACGCCTTCCCCATGATTTTAGCAAGAAACTTTTGTGTATGTGAATGCACTTTTGGTGTTGCGGTTGATGTTGTGTGTCTATCATGTTGTGACTTGCACGTTTTTGCACCGAAAATTTTCTCTCGTATTTTTCCTTGCGGACCATCTTGTAGGTTAAAGGTTTCGATTAATGTCGTGTAAATTTGTTCCGCCAATAAGCACCTAACCACACTATAACGATCCCGACATATTGGACATTTATCAGATCGTGCACGACATCTCAAACACAATAAGTGTCCATTCTGACACTGTGTGAATGGTGATGTAATCGTGTTAAAGCAGACAGGACATTCAATAGCTGTTAGAATTGTTTGAACTGTTGCTGCTAACTTTTCGTAATTCAGTGGCATTGGACCGCAACATAAATTCGATTCACACTGTTGATCCAAGTTTGTATTCCATAGCAATAACGTCACATGGTCGATTTTTGATTTCACTAAATTGGCAACATCTGCCACTCGCATACCTAAAACGTCTTCGCCATTTACCTAAAAACAATAGAAGATGTAAGAGGCATCTAAATTTGAGTTGATGATGATGAGGAAATGATATTGAAATTTTTAATGAGTTGTAAATGTGCTGAAATTTTAGTGACATTTTCGCGAAGCTTAGCTTAATGACTTTGATAATTTTGAGTAGGATTTTATGATAATGTCATAAAATTTAAATTTTAGCATAAGTTCTTTTACTAATAAGACCCTTTTTCTGACCTCGTGACTGCAAGCAATCAATACTCAGTAGTAAAAACTTATTCCCTTTATAAACCATTGAACATGTCCTGCAGTTAACAAAATTAATGGACTCATGTCACATTAACTTCTTCCTCTATCTCAAGACCTTCAGCGTCCACATTAACTACCTCTAATGACTTTAACTCCAAAAATGGCAGCAATTAAATTATCAGTCTAATACAAAAATTTTTAAACAAAAATAGTCAGTTCCATTGCAATAATTCAGCTGTCCATCAAAGTTTGATTCCCAATTTCACAGCTTCATTCATCATTTCTTTAAATTACACATATTGGTTTTTAAAATATCATAGCTTATTCATTTCATCTTCACTGAAACCTTGCCACTGTCTTTAAAAATAAAGCTTGTGCACAGCGTGGAATCACCAACATCTTTACACATAATTGTCTAATATCATCAAGCAATCTTGCAGATTATTATGGTTATTGTTTGACTAACAGCATTATATTCGGTTTAGTTGCTTCACGCACGTTTTGTGGATACAATGGATGCTGATTTATAAAGTTTTATCATGTTACTTTATATGAAGAGATAGAGATTTGATGACTGAGGGTCAATGTGTCACTAGGTTGATAATCCGGCTATATTAATAGGTCAATTTAGGGGCTGTTCACTTATGACGTCCTACATTTAGGGGGGGGGGGGAGATGATTCTAGGATTTTGTGACAGTTCAAACAATGGAAATTTTTTTCTGTAGAATTTTTGTGACAGAGGGGGGAGGGGGGTCAAAAAATCAGGTTTTTTGATGGACATCATAAGTGAACGATCCCTTAAGAATTTTACAACCTAAAATTGGAGATTCTCATAACTGAGCATCCAGAAGTGACCTAATCATTTGAATATAGCAAGAAACTAGAATTTCAGTTACCAAAAATCTTGAACTACCTGTTGAACATCAAGAAATCCTAATTCATTATAATATGGTTCCATAAATCAGTCCACATATGAAAATCACTGCATGCATGCTTAGTGTTACACAATTCAACCTTTAGACAGCGTAATTTAACTAATTACAACTCCATTTAAGCTCAGACTCTGCATATCATAATTCAATATTTTCAATAACAACAGCCACAAAAGTGAGTCATTTAAATAAAATCAACACACATGCACAAAATTTATTATGAACTTGTTAATCAAGTTAAAAGCGTGAGTAGTCATTCTCATTATATAATCGATTATTTTTTAACATTTTATTAACTTAAAGTTCTTCATGTGCAGCAGAATACTTGAGTCAGCATCCACAAGAGTAGCAAAACAGAGACAAGAAAGATCAAGAAACACATTAGCAACAATTTTTTTTTTCAAATAGTTTCATGTCTCTTTTTTCAGCTTCAAGTTCACGCGCACAATAAAATGTGAAAGAGAAAAGACACAAAACTGTACATTGTGGCTGTTGTCGTCGACTTTTTTTGTTGATTTTACCTCTAAAACACAATCACCTTCCTTTAATCCTGACGAACTTGCTGGCGATTCTTTATCTATTCTTGATATGTATGGATATGGATCCCATTTTGAGCGCGATAAGAGAAACCCAAAACTTGTTGCAGAATCAGATGATTTTGTGATATTCACAAGGCGAACAGATGGAGAATAATGATCAACATTTGTGATTAACTGTTCATTGACCTCGTCACTTTCGCGATCTTCTATGAAAATTACTGGAATAGTAATTGAACTTTTTAGCTTGACATCTTCGTCTTCAGCAATTGTCTCGACCATTTTTACATCCGAACCGATCAACGTTGAAACTTTAACTGAATACAGAGATTTGTGGAAATGAGTGAGAGTTTTTTTTTTCCTGCAAGAACTGACCTTACATCACATTCGTTATTACCACAAATACAAGCGCTTGAAATTTAAATGTATAAATGTGTAACTACACAGGTGAGAAGTTGCTGCATGCTCGTGTAGAAATGCCGGTTGCGGCAGCAATATTCACAATCTAAAATGTAGTTGTTGTTGGAAGAGATTGAATAGGTATGCATGAATATTCACACCGTAGAATGTATTAGTTTGGGTTGATTAAATTGTAATCTGTGATTTGTGATTATCAGGAGATTAAGTTTTTGGATTAGCGTAATGTTTTACCAGGGTTGAGAACCCTAGCTAATGTTATTATAGCTCTAGACTTTCAGACATCCAAAATCAGTATGATCGATTTAGTTATATTCTTTTTAAATTATCTTGGTGCCTAGACTAGCTGATGTCTTTGCTTAACTGACCCAGTTACTTTTAATTACCCTTACTCTCCTTCTATACACCAAACGTTATGCAAATCACGGTCTGAACAAAAACAAACTTCAGGCAAGCCGCTCTGCAACTGTTAATGGCAACATCCAACCACCCATGACCTTAACCCACATCATTCATGTAAAAAATTTCTATTATAATAATTTTTAAATAACAAATAGAAACTACATGGCGATGAGGTAGAAGCGAAATCAATCACAATTGATGCATTCGTAATTGATAGTGCTTTTTAAGCTACCAATAACTTTTATAAGTCTATTCATCTTAATTCAATAAATCACCGAGTAATCATCTGACCTTCCTTTTAATTGTCAATTATCAATTACTAGTTGCTAGTGTTGAGGATGTGTTGTTGACTTGCATCTTTTGTGGTTTTACATTTTTTTATTGATTGTGTTTGTTTTGAGAAAGTGAGACTAAAGTGTGAAGGATTGCTGGATAGTTGAAAGGCTTATAAGGCAATGAGATTGCATGACAAATTCATGGATGCTGTTATTGTAATGGACACTATGCATATCAACTTAAAACTGGAATTAAAACTTAATCCTCGAACTTCCTCAAGTTAGCTCAATTCATCAAACTTTATTCAAAAACTCCTCATAATACAAATCAAATCCAATAAATTATTCAACACAGCAACTCCATAAATTCATACAAACTCAAATCAATTCACACATCAACAACTCAACTAAAACCTTTCAATTATAATCCATTAAAATCCGATATCTACAAATTGCTACTCAAAATCTCATCTCGTAAACAAAAACTCACTCAGGTTCAATGACATGCTCTATCCTATAGATTGTGACATTTAAAGCTAAATTAATCTTTTTACTCGTGTCTGTGCAAATCATATGACAAAAAAAATGTTGTCTTGTGGCAGTTTTTTGCCAGTTCTTGTCAATTTTTTTTTATCTAGTTAAATATTTTTTGAAGACATTCTGTTGAGTTTGATATTTGATGATAGACTGAATTTTTTTTTTTAATTTTTCTTTCATTCAAAATTTTTTTAACATTTTGTTTCGAATAGAAAAAGTTGTTAATGACACATTAAAATATATGTTTGATAGTTTTATGGAAGCACATGGTCTATGTCATTATGATTTTAATAATTTAGCAGTGTGCGCAGCGTTAAGAGAAGTGAAAGTTTCATTAATCAATTTTGAAAAAAATTATTAAAGTCAAAAAGTCGTTCAAATTTTGAAATAAATTCAGAAAAATTAAATTTTCTTCATTTCAATTTGGGATGAAAGTTTCAAAATTAAAATTTGTTGTTTTATAAAATTTTAGTCATATAAAGTGATGAATTTCTGCAGACCTGAGCAAATAACGAACATAATTCTCTCGAATAGGTGACTTTGAAGTCAGCAAAATTAACTTTCTTTTAAGGATCGGTAGCTGCCTTAAAAATGGTAGACGAATATTTAAGAAACATCGATTCCTGCTTCAATATATTCAAAATTGTTGGAATCTACCGTCCAAGTGGAGTTCATATTGGACATAAAGTTTATGGATTCTTTTCTCGCCTCATCTTAATAGACATTTTTCTGGTTCTTCAAACAATTTACTTCTTTCAAGTTAAAAATATTATTGACTTTGCAGATCTCTTGTCCATGCAATTGACATACGTTGGAATAGCTGCTAAGTCATATTATGTGATATTCAATTTCGGTACAATAGTCGAGGTTGTCTCAGGATTAAGAGAACTTCTAATATTTGCAAGTGAATATCAAATTAATTTTGGTGATTTTATCAAAAAGCGAATGAAAAATATCCGTAAAGTTTTTGTAATTTACTGGAGCACATGTCCAACTAGCATCACTTTAGCATTCATTATGGCTATGAAAGATGCTCAATCAGCTCCATTCATGACTCAATATAAAATTTATTCACCGCCGTTCTTTAATTTTGAGGAAAGTTATTTTTATTTTGTCATCACTGAAATTTATGCAAACATTAGTGCTCAATTTGCATCAACCTCAGCTGTTGCTATGGACTTTTTGGCAGTGTTTTTCTTTAGCATTGGTGCTGGGCTACTTGAAGAATTAGCAGCAAGAATTGAATTTATAGAAACTGAAATAAGTGAGGAAGTAAAAGTTAAAATACATGAAGGCATTACAATTGATGAGCTTAACAAATGCATTTTAATCCACACTAAAATTAAAAAATTTCTCGTTGCTGCTCAAAATCTTGTTTCACCAATTATTTTTATCCAAGTAGTAATCAGCACTGCTGTTATTTGTACAACTTGCTACACGATTTCAATGGTGAGTCTACATTTTAATTCATATGTCTTGATGCCACTCAAACCTTTCTAATTTCTAACCTTTATGATTAGTTCTCACCAGCTGACGGCGCATCAGTCTTTTTCCGTCAGATAACCTACATGATCCCGATGGGTCTACAAATATTCATTCCTTGCTACTACGGAAATGAAATTATGATTGCTGCTGAGAAGTTCTCGATGAACATCTTTCATACAAAATGGTATCAAGGCTGCAAAAAGTTCAGAACAGCTTTTAAAACCCTCTTGATTCATGCATCTCAGCCATTAATTATGATTTCAGGGATTCTCTTTCAGGTTACTTTGGAGAATTTTGTAACAGTTAGTAGACTGTCTTACAAGTTTTATGCTGTCATGCAGAATATGAATGCTAAAGATGGATTAATGAACAATTAATTAGCTTTGAAACTATTTTGGAAGTAAAAGCTCGATTTGAGCACGTGGGTCACGAAACTTACTATGTCCTTAGTAGTTTATTTATGTCATTTAATCAAATAAAATTAAAAAATTTCAATGCTTTCAAACCAATAAATATTTGACTTTTTATTTAATATTGACTTTTTTTAAAAAATTCATAACTAGCCTAGCGCTTCCAAGAAATTAAATCATAAACTTAAAATGACGAAATTTAATTCCATGGTGGCTTTTAATGACATACTAACATTACGTAGTATTAACATACAGCAGCAGTCGATGTGTTCTTATTAGCACTTAGAATTTGAATAGATTTGTGATTTTTAATCAGAACATAGACAAAGTTTTTCACTTAATTCGTATTCAAAGGACAAAGCTAGCCAAATTATAGGTTTTAAAAAAATCAACTGGGTTTGTCAGCAGAATTTTGAAAAAATTTTATCTTTTTTAAGGGATGAAACTTCAAAAACAAACTTTTTGGTTCTGGAATATTTTTTGTTTATATATAAACTGATGGAAACAATAAATTTGACTTAGTTCCGTTAAATTCTTCTAGACTTAAAGTTCAGAATCAGTGTAAAGTATTGAACTTCATTCAAACCACACCGCAACAATTTAAAAAGAATTTAAAACCTACAAAATGGTTGACGAATATCTTCGAAACATCAAATCAGTGTTCAAAATCTACAAAATCCTCGGAATCTACCGACCAAAAGGAGTTCATATTGGACATAGGATCTACGGATTCTTTTCTCGTTTGATCTTCATCGATATTTACTTACTTCTGCAAACCATCTACTTCTATAAAGTCAAAAACATCATAGACTTTGCAGATTTACTTTCAATGCAACTTACTTGGATCTCAATTGCCTCAAAATCATACATTGTCATCTTTAGATTTGAAGCTCTCGAAGAAGTTCTTGCTGATCTTCGAGAACTTTTGGTATTTGCAAGTGAGAATCAAGTCAATTTTGGACGTTTCATTAAAAAGCGTATGGATAGAATTAGACGAGTTTTCATCATTTATTGGAGTACCTGTCCATTTACCATTAACCTAGCATTCATTGCTGCTATTATGGATGCTAAAGTGCCACCTTACATGACTCATTACAAGCTTTATGCACCGCCATTCTTCAATTTTGAGCAAAATTATTTTTACTTCATTATTGCTGAATTTTATGCAAACATTGGTGCTGAATTTGCCGCTTCAACTGCTGTTGTCATGGATTTTTTGGGTGTTTTTTTCTTCAGCATGGGAGCGGCATTACTTGAAGAATTAGCAGCTAGAATAGCTGAAATCGAAACTGAATTGAAAGACAAAATGACAATCGAAAATCGGATAAAATTTCATAATATTGAAAGTAAGCATGAAGAAAGGACAGTCCAGGAATTGAAAAAGTGCATTATTATTCATGCTAGAATTAAGAAATTCCTTATTTCTGCCCAAAATTTGGTGTCACCGATCATCTTCTTTCAAGTTGTCATCAGTACTGCTGTTATTTGTATGACTTGCTACACAATTTCTATGGTAAGTTTAATAAATTATCCGACTATCCCAAAAAAAATCAATTTTTCCTTAAAGTTCTCACCAGCTGATGGCGCATCAGTCTTTTTCCGTCAATTAACCTACATGATGCCAATGGGTCTGCAAATATTCATTCCTTGCTACTTTGGAAATGAAATTATGATTGCAGCTGAGAAGTTCTCAATGGACATTTTTCATACAAAATGGTATCAAGGCTGCAAGAAATTCAGAACAGCTTTCAACACTCTCTTGATTCACGCATCTCAGCCATTGATTATGATTTCTGGAATTCTTTTCCAGGTTACTTTAGAGAATTTTGTCACTGTAAGTCAGTTGACTTATAAGTTTTATGCAGTCATGCAGAATATGAATGCAAAAGAGGCAATGCAAAACATGAAGGATAAAGAGGAGTAAGAAGGTTCTTTATTTTTCTAAACGTTTTCGAGCACTTTCTTTAATTTTTATAAAACAACATGAATTGTGGAAAAAAATATTCAAAGCACAGAATGAAAAAGAAGAGGAAGAATTGCACAAAAGCACATACAGGAAAGAATTTTTATTTTATATCATCCTTTGAAGTCACTTTCTGTCAATCAAAATAAAGAGGAAGAAGTTTTGTTTGGAATGTTTTTTTTATGAAGTCTGAAAGTGAGTTGCAAAAGCTGTGCAGTTTGGGTTGATTTGACATTTTTTGCTACATTTTTTTTATTCTTCTGTCTCTGAGTCAACTTACCTCTCATTCCTACCCTAGCTGTCCACAACATAGACACGTACTACAGCAAATATTCATAATCTTCTAAGGTAAGTGACAAACAGGCTAATGCTCTATTTTAAACTAGATCCCAATGCGCAATTAAATTGATAAACTTAATATTATAAACAGCAATCAACAATTCAAATGCACATCACCAATAAAATGCGCCATCATCTCTCCCAAGACACCACTTTTATACTGCTACTATCTCTTCTATGCAAAAGAAAAACGTATTTTTTATTATTCATATTTCATTTCATCCACTTCTTTTGTACGTAAAGTTGAATGCAAAAAAAATGAAAATAAAATAAAGAAGATAATTTTTTTTTTCTTTAAAAAAATTCTATGCACGATGTGTAAAATAAAAGGATGAATGACCTGAAAACCTCGAACTCATTTTAAAAATGAAGCAAAAAAAAATTATGCATAAGGAGAATGAAAATAAATCGTAAACATCTGCATTTATATAAGCAGTATTTGCAGATTGTTATGTGCAATTAATGCCAAATGGAAAATGATGACGATAGCAGCAAGAAGAAGGAATATAATTATTATTGTGGTGCAAAAAGATTTGAGGGGATTAATAATTTCACTTTAGCATTTGTCAACGGATTTATGTGTGCATGTGCTATTAGGTTTGTAATATTGCGTAATATTATTTTTGGATTTTGAGATTTCGTAGTTTTGAGTACGAAATCATACTTTTCAGGAGCGTACTTACTTTTGCTTAAAGACCCAATCCCCGAATCCCCCCCTCCCCCTATTCTGGGAATTATGTCCTTTTATATTAGAACTAAAGCTATTAGGATAGACATTCCATGTCATAAGAAAGATTCGTTCATAAACTCAAAAATATCAAAATCCACAGTCTGATCAACATCATCACATCCCATTTATAGCTAATTTGTCATCATAAAAGAAAAACAAAGTGAGAAAGACATAAGAAGAGTAAGTCATAAACGTGATTCCCATCATCACCATAAGTCATTACTAATCTGAATCATTAAATGTAGTCAAATAAATGTATTTATTTTGAACGGATGAATAACAAAATAATTGTTGATGCTACAGTTATTACTCCTATTAGTTACACAAATATAAAAATATGAAAATTTATGAAGAAAGTGGAAAAGTAAAAACAAATTAATTTTTCATAAAATATCACTCAACAAATAATGAGCAAGAAACAAAACAAACCGCGTAGAAGTGAAATGGAACTAAAATTATACAATTTTTTTTCTCCATCATCCATGAAAAATTCTGACGTAATTCTTTCTCATTTTCTCTCTTCTATGCTGGTTTGCCTACAAAATTAAAAAAAAAATGTGGTAAAAATAAAACAATTATTTCCATAAATCATTTTAACAAATTATAATTTTGTCAGAAAATTTTCCACTTTTCTTTCGCTACTCGCTGCATTTAATGGAAATTTTAATTTTTCTCCTTTTTTTTGCATCTTCACAACTTCTTCACTTGAATGTCATTGCGGAAAATAAAGCAAAAGTTTAAGTGAGAAAGGTATTTTGTGGTGTGCAAGGGGTGAATTTATGAACTGAAATGACTCGGCAGTGTAATGGTTTAGTCCTTTTGACACTTTGTTATTACGACATGACGGTTATAGGTTCAAAACTCGTGAGAGAAAATTTTTACATTCGTCCTATTTTAATTGATTTGTGAAATGAAGCTTCAACCCCCAAACCCATATTTAATTGAGCATATAACTCTGATGCTTGCAGTTCCCTCCTTTCCATCTATTCCTGAAAAATTTTCAAACCAACCCTTCATTATAACCCCGCAAAACCCCTTCATATTTCCAGCATCTTACTCAAAATAAAACTCTTCAAAAATCAGAAGTCAAATAAATTCACCTTAAATGAGAAGCAACCGAGTGAGTGCGGAAAAGTGAGAGATGTGTAAAAGATGCAATAAATTATCATAAGCGCTCTGCATGCACCGAGTAACTGAAAATGTATCAAATATCAACGTAATGTGATATGCACAAAATACACAAATTTATGTGTGTTTGCATGGATATTGTACAACAATAATAAATATATTGTGGATATATCTTTGTGCATATGTATGATTTGGATATTTGTTGTGTACATGCATACGTACAATATGTACAGGCAAAAGTCAAGAGAACTTCAACATGATATCTCTAATTGCACATTGCACACATGCATCGTTAAATTTAAATTTTTTAAAGGAACTGAGTTTAATGGAGGAACTGATGTTTTAGACAACAATATGACTAGGTTGAAGGAACCAGATTCGATAAACTGCATTTTAAAGATAGCAACGGCAGTTAACAATCCCTTGAATAATCCACTCTTCCACCAGCAATTTTAAAAATCAACATAAATGCGCCCAGTTCCACTAATTCACTTAATATCCAATTTTTCAAAAAAAAAGAAAACACAAGAGAATAAAAATTATTCTTAAAGCCTCAACAGTAGAACAATTCATGTTGCGATAAACACAGATGTACACACAGAAGAAAGGAGAGAGTGAGAATAAATGTTTATTGCAATGAAGATAGAATGAAATGAAAGAATGAAAAAAAAACGAAATCATGTGTCATTATACTCTGAGCATTATGTGCATAAATAAACATATCATCTCTTTCCACTTTTCTTTCTTGTTTGTGCCTTACTTTTAGCGTAATTTTTAAAGAATTGGAAAATATTTGATTCCTTATGGTTTGTTTGTCCATCTGGGAAAGGTTGTTTGATATAGTTTAAATCCTGATGTATTAGCTATAAGAATCTGAGCTTTTCTCTGTTGCTGTGCAGGGGCCAGAAATCTAAAGAGGAGGGAGAGAAAAAAATTAGAGGAAGGGTGGGATTTTTGTGAATTTTTCATAAAAACCATTGTAAAATGAAGAAATTTCTGATGATGTAGGTAGATTTTTTCTCCAATACCCCCCCCCCCCCCCCTCCCATTTCCCCTTGTTACGTTGCTGTTACCTATTACCAAAATAACTAGATAGACTAGGTTGACTAAGTTGACTAGGTTTACTAAGTTGACTAGGTTGACTAAGTTGACTAAATTGGTTAAGTTGACTAAGTTGAATTTGGTTTTAAAATCGAATCTATAGCCATAAGTACCCTTACAGTACGTCTTCAAACAAAATACGCTTCCGTCCATCAAAAGTGTCCGCATGATCCTACTTGCTTTTCGTTTTCTCACTGTTGTTATTGTGTGTGGATGAAAATGAAAATCTATTCTTAAATGAAAAAAAAATGAGATGAAAAAAATTTGTGTGTAAAAGGCAATAAATTAATTTTCTTTTGTTTATGCCTTTTCTCGTTTCTATTCAATAAAAAAAATTATGCCTGAAAACATGCATAAGAAGTTATTACATGCTTGCGGTATTGAATTTATGGAAGAAGAAATAAAGGAGAAAATTTGTGTTTATTGATTTGTTGCCTTTTGGATATTAAATATTGAATTCAATATAAGCTTTGCCAATGGGTCTTTTATTTTTGAGATTGAGGTAAATGATTGAATATTTTGCTGGTTTTGTGGAATTGTTTCTTTAACTCAATTTACTTAAGAATCTTGAGGCTTGTTTGGTTTATTTTCTGATTTTGTTATTGCAACCACAAATTGAAATGGAGCTGGATAGATTTTAATTAAGATATAAAAGGAGTGTTCATAATTTTATAGAAAATTGATCATTGACTCATCAATATCTACACTTAAGGCACTTCTTTGGAGAAGCTTATTCCCAACTCAAAGGAATGATATCAAACTCCTCAAAAGTAAGGATCCAATTACTACAAAAATTTAATTATTCTAAATAATATTGACATTCAGATGGAGCAATACAGGCAATGTCGTCACCACTTGATTCTTAACAACAACATTGAACTTTTTCAACGTATTTTCCAGATTTTTTCTTCCCATTCATCAACCTTAACTTATCTTAACTTTGTTCTTATCAAAAACTAAAAGCAAGATTTGAGTCTTTAAAATTGGCTATCAACGGCTATCTTTAAGTGTTGATAAAAAATTATTTTCTATAAAACTTTATGTCCGCTGTAAATTTTCATCAGTTGTGCCAAATTTTTCATAGAAAGTAAATCGACTCTAAGGTAATGAAGCTTTTTATATTAACAATTTTTGCTGTTGCTGTAGCATCGGCTGTTGAAAATTATGATGGACCAGAATATCAACCAATTGATTGGTCGAGAGTTGTGCCTGTTCATGAACTTCCTGGATTTTGGGAAGGTACAGTTTATGAAAAATTAGCAATGAAGCCTAATCCAAGAGCAAGTCGTATTGTTGGTGGAGATGAAGTCGTTCCTCACTCACATCCATATCAGGCTTATTTACTGTTGCAACTTTTACTTGGAACTTCAGCTTGCGGTGGATCAGTTATCAGTGAAACAGTTGTTCTTACTGCTGCTCATTGTTTGACAAATGTTAGAACCGTTACAATGGTTGCCGGTGGACATAATATACTTGAAGTTGAAGCTTCTCAACAAAGAAGAACAGTTGAAGCTGTAAATCTTCGCATTCATCCAGAATATAGCAGAATCAATGTCCTTAATGATATTGGAACAATTCTTCTTCAAACTGCATTAACATTCAATCAATTTGTACAACCAAGCACTCTTGAACCTGCAAGTACAAATACATTTGTTGGATTCACTTCTCAAGCAACTGGATGGGGACGTGTAGCTGATGGTGGTGCTACATCTGCTGTCTTACGTGGTGTTGATAATACAATTTTGGCTAATTCAGTCTGTGCTGAAGTTTATGGAAATGTTGCAATTAATAACGCTACAATTTGCATTGACACAACTGGAGGTCGCGGTGTTTGCAATGGAGATTCTGGTGGACCATTGACTGTTATTGATGGACAAAGAATTCAAGTCGGAATTGCCAGTTTTGTACACTCATCTGGATGTCAGGTATGTAAAAGTTTTACGTCAACTTTTAATATTTTATACAATTTAAATTTTATTTTTCATAGTCTGGAATTCCTCATGTTTTTGAACGAGTTGCTGCTCACTTGACATGGCTCAATAACAATATGTCTTAAATTTTTGATGACAGTAAAATTAAATATGGCTTAAAATATTTGAAAATCGAAATAAAATTTCTTTTAAGTAAAATTAATTCTTGTTGAAATCTGAAAAAAAATCAATTCTTTTAAACTTCCTTTTATGGCTTTATTTTATCTTGTTAAGTTAATTATCGAAAAATTTATTGTTCAACCGATTTATGAGCTTTTTATCTTTTAGAATTTATTATTGTTGTTGAGATTTTTCTGAATACTTATATTAAGTTCGCATTTTTGGGGGGAGGGGGGTTTGAAAAATTGTAACAAAATGTAACATAGGGGGGGGGGGGGTACTTCTTGATACAAGTATGTAACGTTTTAACTGTCGTCTGTCTTTTAAAAAATAGTTCATGAAAAAAATTTGTTTACAAATTCACACAAAAAACATTTTTTTAAATTTTCCACCTTTTTAATGATAAAATAAATTATGAACGTTGGTGGGGGGGGGGGGGGGAGTGCGAGAGTTGTAACTATATTGTAACTAAGGGGGGAGGAGGGTTGAAAAAATCGTTTTTTTGCGTAACGTAATAAGTGAACGGCCCCTTAACTAAATTGCCAAAAATTTAAGGCTTTGATTATACGTAGTATTTTTTCATATTTTCAAAAAATTCAAACATGTTTTCTCCTTTTTCCAAATATACAAAGCAGTCTTATCGGCAGTTTAAAAAACTGTTTTCTGATAACAGCTTCTGAGTCAGATTTTTGATTAATTTGAGTTTCATTGTTCTTATCAATCCGGATATAGGAGTTTCTTGGGGTTTTCCAGATTTCACTTATTATTTTTTAATTTTTTTTTGTACCTTAAAGCACTTAAAATCGATAATTAATATCAGAAGAAAATCTTTATTGCCTACTCATAAGCACTGATTAATAAAACTATTAATTTACTACCTTAATCGACAAAAATTGTGTTATCTTTACACCTCCGGTTATTACTTTACTTTTGTGTGATTTAATGTCTCATAACTTATGATAGGCACAATGTAATTACTTATGTTGTGATTTGCTGATTTATTTTTTTACTGTACTAAGTATCAATAAATCAAGCCACGTGTATGCTTTGGTTTTTTTTTGGCTGCGAATTATTTATCAATATGATGAGAACTGAAGCCATGAATTTTTGAAAATTTTACTCCACCTTTGTAATTTCCAAATAGTGAATAGTTCAGATAAAAAGGTTTAAAGGCACTCAAATTTCATCAATGACTCACTGTACATTTCCTAAATCATCACCTTTGAACACAATTTTCTGTAATTTCCAAATCAATTTGTCAATATTTCTTGAGATAATTTCTCAACGATCTTTTTTTGATTACTCGATATTGGGGAAGTACATGAATGAGTAGGGAAAATCCAAAAAGTGAAAGAAGATTGAAAGCTTATCAAAATCACTTTTCGTATAAAATGTGTAAGAATTTCTTTGATATTCAACAGTTGCAGTTGATAAAGCAGAACAAAATGAAATTTTTAATAATTTTAACAGTTTTGATATCATCAGTTGTGGCTAAGGAAATTCCAGAGTACTGGAAGCCAATTGACTTTTCTAAAGTAGTTAAAATTGAGAACACTCCTGGATTTTGGGATCAACTCCCAAAAATCTTTCAAGAAGAATCATCAGTCTCTAGAAATCGACGAATTTTCGGGGGTAAAGAAGTTGAGCCCAACAACCATCCTTACCAAGTAGCTATTCTCAGTGAGTTAAATCCAACATCAACGGGACTTTGTGGCGGAACAATTTTAAACACGCAAGCTATATTGACAGCGGCACACTGTATAGATCGTTTTCTTAGAGCTACAATCATCGCTGGTGCCCACAATATTCAAATACTAGAATCAGCTCAACAGCGAATAACAGCAGAGTTTGCAAGCTTCAGAATTCATCCAGGATGGAATGGATTTGATTTTATGGATGATATTGGAATTGTAATATTGCCAACTGCCTTGACATTTAATGCTTATGTGACACCTACTCGTCTGCCATTCGGACATGAGACTGAAACATTTGCTGGAGAATGGTCGAGGGTCATTGGATGGGGAATGACTGGTGAAGGTTCTGGATCTAGTTCAGTCCTTAGAGAAGCTTACAATACTGTTCTTACAAATCAGGACTGCATTAATGTATGGGGAGCTGATTTGATCCGATCAACCATACTTTGCACATCGTCAATTGGGCAAGGCACATGTAGCTCGGACTCTGGAGGAAGTTTAACAGTTTCAAGAGATTCTAGACCTGTACAGATTGGAATTGTTAACTTTGGGTCATCAAGGTGTGGATCTAATTTACCAGTTGCTTTTGCCAGAGTTACAAGCTATTTGGACTGGATTGTCGCTAATCAAAATGTATAGTCTTATTTTGTGCTTATTGCAATAAACTTATCATGTCAAATTTTATTAAAAATCACATAAAAATGTCAAGTTCCATGACATTGTCAAGTTAAAAATTCTAAACCTTCATAAATTAATCAAAGAAATTTCAGAGGCATCTCGTCATGGGTCATTAACATAACAAGCAATAGCATAACACTAATGATCAACAAACGTGGCAAAGAAAAAGAAAAATCTTCAAAAAAAGTTGTAAAAAAATTGTATATTGACCCTTTTTGCTGCAAATGTGTTCGTGCACGGCTTTTTTTCCATAAATGATAATTTTCAGTTGTTTTCTTGGCTAACGATTACAGAAGGAAAGAAAGAGAAAAGATTATGAAAAACATAAAATAACGCCTCTAAAAATGTGGCAAACATATACGCATAGAGGAACAAACAAATACACACACAAAAAAGAGTCACTGATCACAATATTATTCTTGTTAATAATCACATGCATGCTGACTCCAGAATCTATATCTCTCCTTCTTCCATATATTTCCATATATACACATATGTGTGACATATAGAAATTTTGTGTTGGAAAAACAGAAGCTCATCATCAGTTCTTCTTCTTTTATGCTTCTTCTTTGAAGCTAAGGTTTTAGAATAAGTTGTTGATTATGGGTGCAGATTGTCTTAATAGCTGGAAACTAATTTCTAGAATGCAGCAAAAAAATGGGAGGGGGGAGGGGGGGGGGGGGGGGTTGTAAAAAAACAAAAACAAAAAAATCATGTTTAAGGCGGTTCAATTTTATTTGTAAACTGAATGACATGCAAAGCTAAGTCCCGTGAAACAAAGTTTGAGAACCACTGGACCTAAAAAACCAATGGCAATCTTACATCATGAATGCACCCCAACACCTCCCTGCAATCATCTTCCTCAGATAAAAAAATATTCATAATTTCTTTCAAACATTTAAAATGCGCTTTATTTTCACATCAACGAGATCCTCAGCACGCCTACTCACAGTTCCTTACACATATATTTTCTTATTCCAATTTTTTTTATTTTGTATTTTGTTAAATTTGTATTGGAGAGAAATGAAAAAAGATTTTTCTTATTTCTGTTTAAAATGAAAACATTAGCATCTTAATTCTAAATAAAACAAGACGTTCTTTCCAATTAGTAATCAATTTATTTTCGTTTGCCGGTCGCGCTGCAAGAAGTGTGTGAAGAGAAAATTTTATTTTTATTTTCTTATTTTTTTATTATTTGAATTTTCTTCAATTTTTGTTGATTGCGTCCGTGTTAGAGTTGAGAAGATTAAATGTGTGATTATTATTTGTGGATTGAAAGAAAATTGTGATTAAAAATTTACATTTTTGCAATTATTAAGACAAATAAAGAAAAAGTGAAAACTGGTGGAAATTGAAAAAAAAAAACTTTAAAACAAATTTAAAATAAAAAAAATAAAACTTACAAGAAAAACTTTATTAAAAAAATTGAAAATTAAAAAAAAAGGATTTAAAATACTAAAAGTGAAGTCTAGTGGAAAAAATTAAATTTAAAAATTAAATCCTCGAAATAAAATTAACTCATCATAAAAATTAAATAAAAAATCCATCAATTAATCAAATTAAAAATTATTCATCCAGTGATTTTTATCATCAAGCAAATGCTGATGATGATGGCAAACTAGCAGCAACAATCTGACGTCTCAATGTGATAATTTCGCATCTATTTTAATTAATGATTCAATCAATCAATTAAGTACTTTATTATAACATCGCCCGTCATTACGCGCGCTTGACAACTTTATAAGAAAAAAAATCACGCAATAAAAAAAGTTGAAAATGAATTTCCAATTTGTGCCATTAATGAGCGTCTCATCACCGTCACCAATTTGCGTAAAGAAAGGAAATTACTCATCATATAATGCATGTAATGATATGAACAATGGAATTTTAACGCCAACAACACCTTCATCCGCAATGTCATCAAAATTAATTACGACAGTCGAGAGTTCATCGTCACCGTTCTATGTCCCACCTCCATTTCAGCCATTTTCATACTCACATTCACCGCCAGCAAATAATTATTATCATCAAGTATCGCCAATTGAATTTTCACCATCCGATAAGCCCACACAATTATTATACAATTACAATGATTGTAATGTCGATGAATGCGGTGGATATTACGATAATTATTCAAATTCCGTGATTGATACACCCGATTCCATTATATTTGATGATGATAAAGGAAATCAGTTTAATGAATATGATGATACATATTTTCGATTTGATGCCGAAACAATTGAGAGATTTTCATCGACAATTACGGATGTTCCATCGCCATCTGATATTTTGAATTTGGATACAGACTATGTAAATTTTAATGAGGATAATTGTAATTCAAAAAATCAATCGCCATGCTCCTCACCACTGGATCCATGGATTGTTTCAAATGCAATGATTGAAGCATCAAAATCACCAAAAATTAACAACAATGTTCAACAACTTCCATCAATAAATCAAGCATTTTCGCACCATTTTCAAGGTAATGGTGTCTGTGAAGGATATGAGACACATTCGGGATATGAAAACAGTTCAGGATATGAGAATCATAATAATATCCTCGATTCATTCGATTCATCGTTTTTTGATGACTTTACTGTATCGAATATCAAGTCAGAGGAGTCGTATGTAAATCCAATTAACTTCAATTTTATTACATTAACTGATGACAAGCCAAATCGTGAATTTAAAATCATTTTTGAAGACAACGAGGAATCAATACAACAGCATCAAGAATATTTACATGATTTTGATGAAGAAAAATTAACAAATTACTCAGAAGTTCCACAAAGAAAGCCAAAAAGACAGAAGAAGCAGCAAAAACCAAAAGAAATTGTAATTGAGGAGCTTCCACCACCGCCAGAACAATCAGAATTGCCACAACAACTCATTTGCTTCTGGGCTGATTGTTATCAAGAATTCAAAACACAATCGGCACTTGTGAGTCATATTGAGAAGTATCATGTCTGTGTGATAAAGGGTGAAGAATACACGTGTCTTTGGACGGAATGCCCGAGGCAATACAGGTCATTTAATGCAAGATACAAATTACTGATTCACATGAGAGTTCATTCTGGGGAAAAACCAAATAAGTGTCCGGTGAGTGAACATTTTCTTGATCTGAAAAATTTAATTTTAGATAAATTGGGGTATGTTTGTAAATGACGTCTATCTAGGGGTTTGGGTTTTTGAGACACAAGATTTTTAAATCTAAATTTTTACTAAGTGTCCACACTGTCTTAGGGAAGAGAGGTAGGGTTAATTTAATAGACGTCATTTTTGAATATCCCCTAAATAGTAAGTTCTACGTGCATTTCCAACATAAAAAAAATATTTTCTGACAGTTAGCTTGCGAAAAAATAATTCTGTAACCCACCATCTGCAATGTGCTGTACATTCTGTGACACAAAAAAAAACTGTCACTTAAATCCAGCTGATTTTCATTCTTAATTCCGAACTCTTCTTATCTGCATTTTTATCTGCTATAAAAAATTTTAAAAATACACAAAAAAAATATTTTTATCCATAAATAAAAACTAATAAAAAAATTTCAAACAACCCAAAAAAAATTATTAATTCCTTAATCACATGCCAAATGACAGACGTTTAACTTGCAACATATTTTTATCATCTTGAAAATTATAGAAATTTGACGACATGATGTCTTCATAACGCATAAAACTTAACTATAGGAACTAATAAATCATCTCTTAACCTCGTTTACACTTTTTGTGCTGTTCGCCAATCTCTCGACTTATGGTACCCATTCAACCTATTAGATGATTGTAGAGCAAACATGAAAGTCATCAAAAAATGTCACGATTAATTTAATTTTTTTCTTGCTGACTCTCTTCCTTATAATGTGTGCCTTTATATAGAAAGAAAAATTTTTGGAAGTTAGAAATTATTTTTGGTTTAAAACGCATTTTTGAAAAAATTTAAAAATAAAATTCATAGTTCTATTTGTTCAATTCTTAGCTGAAACAAATTTGGAATATTTAAAGCAATTTTTTTAAAAAAAATTGAAAAATTCAAAAAATTGAAAAAAATTGAAAAATTCGAAAAAATTGAAAAATTCAAAAAACTGAAAAAAAATTGAAAAAATTTAAAATTGAAAAAATTGAAAAAATTTAAAAAATTTAAAAAATTGAAAAACTTGAAAAAATTTAAAAAATTGAAAAAATTGAATATTAATTTAAATATAATATTCAAACTATCCTAAGTAATAGCAATAAGTCAAACTGCAAAAAAAATATTTAAATTTTAAAAAATTCGCACAATTCAACAACATAAAGACGAATATTCACTATCATCCACAAACCATATGCTCTTAACCTCAACGATAATCACATTAATGATGATAAAAAAAAACTTCTTGAGCCACAACAGAAGAAGAAGAAATAATAAAAATATTTTGCTTAGATAAATTCTCTAGTTGATGCCAAACATTATCAATATGAAACAAGAGAAGTCACGAGTTTTAAAAAACATTTCAAGTCAGGCAAGAAAAAAAAATCTAAAAAAAGTGCAAAGAAGAGAAATTCTTATGCTGTGTATGGATAACATATGGATTTTTTTGAAAATATTAGGGATTGTGCCAGGCATAAGTTTATTTACAGAAAAAAAAATCATAAAAAATTTTTTTTGTTATGTTTATTTTAACAAGAAAATTTCATATCATCCAAACATCCACAAAAAAAATTCAATTTCTGGAGTGCCAAAAAAATATTTTTTTTTTTATCAGCCAAGAACCATCATTTTTAAGTGTCTTGTCGTTTTGCTTCATGCCCGACACGTGGTCCATCAAGTATCATCATATTGTATGTCGTTCGTTCTCGCTTCTCATTTTCAATAATGCTCGGTTCTCTTGCCTTTTTGGCATCGCTTCCTCATAATGTAAATAAAAGGAATTGAGATGGAATGAAAAAAACTTAACAAGCAATTTTGGATGCACACAAAAAATAATAATAATAATCATAGTCTTTGGTGCAGTTTTGGAAGGATGCTGTGATGATGTGATGTGCAGTTTTGGGTCTATAAGTTTAGCGGATGGTTCATGGCATTTTTTATAAGCTGTTTGGTTTGAGGAATTGAAATGAACTTTTGAGACTTTGATTTTGATTCTTTTTGCACTTTCTGCTCGATCCAATCTGGTTACTAAACCTTAGAGCATTAGCATATCCCCAGTAGCTATGTCCCTAGCTTATTATTCCACAAAAATGCGCTTTATTCACCATCAGCAAAACAACCCCCAACTTCCATCATAATATCTTTTTTATGATTTAATATACATCGAGTGGATTGGATGTGGTTTTGAAACTAGAACAAAAAAGCACTATTAGAGTCTATGAAGTGGAAATAATTGAAAAATTATAACTCAAGAGGAAATCTCGCCCGATCTCACTTGACTTTCATAGTTTTTTATGCTTCATCCACTTATTATTATTATTTTTATTGAATTATATGAGGAAAGTTCTTATGAATTCGATGGGAATGAAATTATAGTGATGATAGGAACTTAATTGGCTATAACAAGTTCTTTTATTTTTTCTATCAAAACTTGGTAATTTCTTTTTTCCTCCTTTTTCTTTTGTTTTTTTCCTCGTTTTTTAAAACTTTTTCATATTTTTTTTTTTATGTGGGTTATAATATCAGATTTCAAAAGATGTAGTTTCAATCTTTGTGGATGAAATTGATTGAATTATAAAGAAGTTTTCAATAGCTTGTCTTGCATGTTAAAGCAGAGGTTTCTAAATGGTTGGGTAAATAATCACTTAGAAATTTTTTGTTTGGTTTGTTGACGAAAGAATTATGATTGATTCTTGCGTGGCATCTGACAGGCATTTAAGAGGTTTCTGTTCAGTTATAATCATGCTTTTTAAGCCAATATACATGATGCACATCAAGAGAGGAAGGGCCAATAGCCACGGCATCGGTTTTTTTAATTTATAGCAGTGTTGTCCAAACTGATTTGAGCCACGACACACTTTAGGCCCACTTTAGGGGGTTGTGGCTTTGGTATGCAGCAGTCATGCCTCAAACATCATCAGTTTAATGCAATCAAGCTGAACAAATCAATTTAACCCAGATTATCATCAAAAAAAAATTTGCATCATTAAAAATCCATTTACACAATTACCATTCATGCTCTTCAATTAAAATTTATTTCATCTACTCGTATAAACTATTTAAAAAATCACAACAAATTTAAATTCCTGCAAATTATGTGTAAACCTTTAAATTAATCCTTTTAGTCTCTCATTCCATGCATGTCAAAAATGCCATCACTTACCACAATCACCACAGGAAAAATTAATTATTTTGAATTATTACCAAACAAAAATTCCACATCCGAGAACTAAAAGAGATTAAAAAATCAACAAATGTGCACGAAAATCGGATTAAAAAGATGAAACAAAAAAAAAGAAAACATTTTTATTTGTTTTTGTAACAAATTAGCCAATTAATCATGCAAGCCTATAGAGTTTCCCCTTTTTATTGCGTTTGGTTTTCACACACTGAAAGATGAGATATTGAACTTGTCGTATAAAAACCTTATAAACATTCATCATGCACATTGCATCCCCCAAAAAAAATTTAAAAATGTTCTTTTTGACAATAAAACATTTAGTTTTTATAATACATATGTGGCTTATTGAGATCAGTGACTGCAGATAAACTTTTTTTCCACCCTTTCAAATGGTCGTTTATGTTCTTTTTTTCGGAGCTAGACTTTGTGTTTATGTAGAGATATTTTATATTGCGTGGAAATAAATCTCAATTTTTTTTCTGTAATAAAAATGATATACAAACATGCATTTAATGGGTAGTTACGAGAAATGAATGAATGAAGCTCAAAGGGGGGTTCTGAAAAAAGTTTTTATTTTGTTTTGTTTATTTTGATGTGTTTTGTGTGCATTTTTAAATTGTTTTAGTTTGCAAAAGCCAAATAAACAATTTTGATGAATCAAAGTTTGTCATTTTGTAGCTTAAAATAAACAATATCAAGCTTATACCTTCCTGATTCTGCAAAACTAATGTTTGCCTTCATTAATTACATTTTTACTTAAATGTGCAGCTGCAACATGATGATCTTGTAAAGACCTGTTTTACAGCATATTCTTACAACATATGTCCATGTCTAATTGCCATGCATCATTTTTGCATAGATCATTTCGGATGTCATATAATTTAGTATTGCTGACCCAAAACAGCAGGTTGCAAAATTTTTAAAAGTCAAATAAAATTTTAAATTATGGAAATTTGGATGAAGCATGACAATTTGTTTTATGGTTGTCTTGTTCAATATTTCGAGTCTCATCTGCAATAAAGTCACAGTTTATCACAAGAACATACCAGCAACTTCCAAAAAACACCTTGCGTGCAGCAAAGAAAATATCAATCAACCTAATATAACTTACTAGACATTACAATATCCATAAAACAACACATTAAATCCCCTTTGCACCCCATAGAAAATGTAAACATCTTCCCTATTACACAAAATATTTCCAGCAATCTGTCACAGTTGCCATTCCATGCATAAACAAATAAAATATTCAAAATATAAATCATCAAAGAAAAACCTAAGCAACGGTGAAAGTAAAGTCATTTAAGTGCATTTTATGTCCCCATTTATTTACATGAAATTTATCATCATTTTATGATGGATATCATGACAAACCAAAAGCAAAACCAACAGTTTGCAGGACGGCTGAAGAAAAATTGTCAACCAGAAATGTTTTTTGTTGCCTTTTTCGAGATAAACCACACACTTTAGTACAGAAACGCACCCGAGAAATGTGGAAAGGAGAGTTTGTGTGGATAAATATGAATTACATATGTCTGCTTGCCTTTAAAAAAAATGAAAAATAAAAAGGAGCATCAGTTCTATAATCTTCAATGTTTCTTTTTTACTTTATGTAATTTTTATGTCACATGTGTTCATCTTTATCATCATACCATTCATATATATGAACTCTCGACTCTCAATTTATACTTTCTGCTTTTCCTCTGTACAAATACGGCAGGCAGAGTTGGTTGTTGGTAGGTTATGATAAGCACTGTCCACAATCTATTTGACATTAGCATTTAATGCATGTCTCTTGTTGATGTACCCTTAATTGCCAAATATTCTAAAGTCAATGCCATTTTAAGCTTTTAAGTCAATGCAATTACTGCCATGAGCAAGAACCACTTTCTGCCAATATCCAGTATCCTCCATTCCAACTCTGACAGCAATAATAACTAGAATAAGAAAGAAAGAAGAATGAAAGAAATAAGGAACATTATACACACATGATATATGCTTTAACCTCGCTTTTAATAACTTTTATGACTGCAACAAAAAAAGGAGAAATGAAAAGAAAAATAGTTTGAGGAATGAAATGAAAAAAAGTACGGCAGCATAGGAGTGTGATATGGATTGGATGCTGAAATTTAATTAGTTTTTATTTTCTGGGACATTTAGATAAGAGTCAAGTGGTTAACGGTTAGTTCATGGTGACTGCAATTAGTGTAGTTTTTGAATGTTTTTAAGAAATTGAGGATGTTGAAAATCTGAAAGATATTAATTTAATGTTTGAAGTCTGGGATACACACTTTCAAGAGGTTTGGGTTATCAGGAGTGATTGCAGACATTTTGGAATCAGGAATTTGGAGTGTTATTGGTTTATGCGTTGCTGCTCTGTAGTTTCACTGAAGTTATAGTTTGCAGTGGGATTCGAACCATGTCATTGAACAATTTTCTGTTGATTACATAATTTTGAGACTCGAACTTATAATTGCTAGGTCGAAAATGTATTTTTATTGACCCATGCAATGGCTTTTCGACCAAGCGACCTCTTTCAGCTCAGATTGCTTCACTGAGCTATTAACAATACCCTAGAAGCAAATCCCAATGAAATTTCACATCCAGAAAAATTCCATGCAAGCCTAGTTTAGCCTTAAACATTAGTAAATCATAATGCAAAATATAAATCCAGCAACAAACAAATTACAATGAATATTCATTAAATTAGTCAAGCACTAAAAAATCACGAACACCACCACATTTACAGAACAAATAAAACAAATAATATTCCATGCAATCGATAATAAAACAGAAAAAATAATGAAAATCTCATTCACGGATTTATGACGAAAACAACTAAAATATTAAATTTCCATATTCATAAATATACAAAATAAAATCAAATTAAACACATCATATAAAGCTCACATAAAAGCCGTTAATCCATAACATCAAAAATTAATAGTTTCATGCAGTTTCAAATTAAGGTTGTGTTTACGGTTTTTACAATTTTTTTTTTATCCTCAACAAAAGCTATATAGCTGTTGTTACAGTACAGTATAACACGAGGAATAAAAGGATATCACCACTCATGATCTACATGCATACAACATAATATATTTATGTTTTCTTTAAAGATTTTAATGCACTTGAAAAAATGTAGAATAATAAAAATATTTTATGATGTTGGGACTGTTGTATGTAAAGTATATTATTATTCAAAAACTAGAAAAAAGCTATAAAATGTCAGGAAAATATTTATTTTGTCACACATATCATGCACATTTGAATTACGGAATGCATGGGCCTTTTAACTTCCATTTCTCATAAACTAGATACTTTTAGCCTTCAGAATCTTATGAAACATAAGATGAAGATATAATGAAGAAAAAAGGTTTCTGGGGTTAATAACATCGACGACACTCATAAATGCCACTTTTCAAAACACATAAAAATCATTAGCTGATTATGTTTTGAAGCCCCTATTGAGTAGATGTTAAGTAGACATGGCCATAAAATGAATGTTTATAGCACATCATTTCTTTTCCTAGGAAAATTCCCCATTAACAATTTTCAATCCTCATTAAAACAAAATCTCTCTTTTTTTAATTACAGTTCCCAGGATGTCCAAAGGCATTTTCACGATTGGAAAATTTGAAGATTCATCAGCGTTCGCATACTGGCGAGCGTCCCTATTGGTGAGTTGAATTGATTATAAAATAATATTATTATCTTGTTGATTGTGTAGATAGGAAGTGATTGATTGGAAATGAGACAGATAGAGCGGGGAATTAAGGACAAAAGCTAGTTGATTAAAAGCAAAGGATTTTTTTGGTCCCAGTGTATTAGAAATTGTTTAGCTTTTATTTTAATAGTATCAAGCTAATGTCTGTTACTGCCTTAAAACAAGATATGAGACATCAAAAGCTATAATAAATCACCTTTGTTTTTCATTGGGGTCGTTCTTAAATGACATCAATAATGAATGGAAGTGTAACACAGTGGCAGACTCCCTTTCCCTTACAAAGCCTGAAAACATCATTTATGAATGGTCCCTAATTGTAAAATCAGTATTTCCAATAGCAAAGCTATCAGAACAACTCACAACAACACCCTATTAATCTCTGGGAGCATTTAAACATCCTCTACACAATCATGTACACATCATCCACTCAACATACTAATAAAATTATTTTAATCCACAGCTGTACCTTCCAAAATTGCACAAAAGCCTTCTCAAACAGCTCTGATCGTGCAAAGCATCAACGTACACACTTTGATACGGTAAATTAATTAAATGTCTATGTCAAATTGTCAATACTAATTTTTCTTTTTCTTTCTCTACACAATAGCGTCCATATGCATGTCAATTACCTGGTTGTACAAAACGTTATACGGATCCATCGTCACTACGTAAACATGTTAAGAATCATGACTTTAAGGGAAGAAGAAAGTCACAAAATAAGGAAGCGAAGCAACAAAATAAATCACATCGAAAAATATCCGAATCATCGTCAACATGTGCGACACCATTGACACCAATAACGCCACACAATAAACAACAGAAATTTGATTTCGACGATGTATTTGAGGGAGCGTCTTCGACATCAACACAGCACTGCAAAATTACAACAGCAGAAACATCGATGAACTTTGAAGAAATGTCAAATTGCCTGATTACCCTAATGGATCATTCAACCATAAACGGCGATAATGTTGTTGTGACTAATGGCAATAGTAGTCTTGAAAATATCGGAAATGGTTATAAGCCGTGCGATAATAATTATGATAGTGCGATAAATTATAATGAGCAGGAGTCGTTGAATATTTCACAATATTTTACATGAAAAGTATTTTGTAGCATTTTATGTACGCCTACTTTTTTTATGAGGTGAATGCGGTGAGGTTGGGTGGCTAGATGGGCTGCAATCAACAAACTTTGAAGCTACTATTTTCCTGAAATTTAAAAAAATTCTTATTTTTGAGATTTAAACTTATACTTTAAGACACAGTGCCTGAATCCAAATCAGCCTATAGCCATCCACATAACATTCACACATAAGAAACAAGCTGAGAGAAAAAAAAAGGCAAGCAGGAGAAAAAAATATATTTTTATGGAACCCAAGGCATAGTTAAGATTAGCATTAAACTGCTTTATGGCCTCAGCCATTAAAACGACAGTTTAGATAGAAACCATTTATGATGCATGGTTAAGGTTTTTTGAAATATTGCCGTACCACACTTACTTGTGCTTGTATATTTGTGTAAGCTTCGGAGGTTATATAAAAGACGTCAGTATGGTGTGGGGGATGAGAAAATTTTGAAGCAAGTAATTCTGTATGTGTGCCATGATTACCAGAAAATTTAATTATTAAAAGAACAACATAGAATAGGATACAGCACATTGATGCATATGGATGTATGAAAATAGCTCCTGAGGCGCCTTTTATCATTAGCTACATGCTGTTCATTCGATAAACAAGGCTTCTTGATATTACATTACTTACTTACCACAAAATTCTCTCTCATTCTTTGGATAGACGATGAAGACGAAGAGAAATTCAATATCACGAAAATGTTGCAGATATAAAAAAAAATTTAAACTTTATAAAAATTTAATTCCTACATGGGAACATGTAACATTCTTGTGATTTTGTGATGAGCTTTATTGTGAAACTTAATCGTGTAAATAGGGAAAGACTTTAGATTGATAGATAATCGTAGACTTTATTCTTGTTAGAAATTTAATTTTTTTGTGTGTTTATTAATTTTGAATGATGTGAGACGGATTTTGAGACTTGTGAAGTTTCTGATGTAGAAATTTATGGATTTTGGGAAATTTACTCCTTAGCTGCACATGCTGTGACACTGAATTTTAGTTTACTTAGGATCACTAAAATTACCAAGGAGTATAGACTAGTGGCAAAGCCTATAAGTTGGGTTTAATAATGCTCTAAAGCAGCTGATCATCAAAATTGTCTCATTTTAAGCGATGTGTCGCTAAGGCTCGAAACTATAGAAACGCAAAATTCAAAAACTCTGCATTTTCCACATCATTCAATTTAAAATTGTATCAACAAAACTTTATGGCTTCCATTAGAAAATTTTTGTACTAAACTAATTAGTGTTAAACAATTTTATAAAAAATATTAGAATTAAAATATGAAATGTATCAAAAATGAAGTTTTAATTAGTTTTATGCAATTAATTTGTAGAAAATTCTCGTTGAAAATGAATCTCATCATGCTTTAGTGATCTCGAATATATATTTTTTGAATAAACATTTTTTTTGAAATTGATGATTATAGAAATTTATGTGTACATAGTTGAGTAGTTTGTAATGAAAATTGATGAGTTTGATGCAAAATTGCAACAGTTTTCTGGAAGTTGAAGGAAATTCTTCGTCAGCTGAATATTTTTTGAGGTTAGAATGCTTCATTCTTAGTTCAAATTAAGCTTAAAATTTAGTAAACAAATTTCCCAAAACTGCAATTGTGCATCCATTAAGCTCAGATTTTACAAAAATTAATCAATCGTAGGGGTCGTTTACAAATAACGTACAACATTTTTCAACTGAAGAAAAATTTAAAATAAATCCCAATCATCAATAGACGTCACTTGTGAACGCCCCAGTAGCTCATAAGCGTAAAAATTAAATTCCAAAGTGATAATAATTAAATCGAGACTTCATGAAGCACAAAAATTCAGTGAAAATTATTCAGATCTCATTTTGGTCTCATTAATGTACCAATAAATTCTTTTGTGATTTTGCTGCTATGGCAAAAATTTTACTAACGATGAAAAAATTTCAAAAAAAAATCTTTCAAGCTTGTTGATCCCAAAAAAAAGACATGAAAAATTATTTGCCCTAAAACCTCAGAAACTTCATGAACAAATAAACATGAAACTGTTAAATTATGACATGCAGCAGTAAATTGACCATATTTGGTCAATAAAAAAAGTTTCCCATTTTTCCCATTACGACAAACTTTTTTCATTTCTCAAACTTAACTCAACCGAAAATAGATTTTAAATTAAATTTAATGTCACAAAACTGCAATTTTCTATTACATAGCAACAAGATTAAGTCTTCCTCATCACAATGATCATCATTCTCAACCATGATGCTTTTCATTGGATGAAAAATGTAGAACAAAAGTTGAAAAAAATTGTCTGTGAAATGAGGAAGGAAACTTTTCTTCTATGAAACATGTAATGTAATAATTTTCTTGCTTCTTCTGCATCTCTGATCTCATTCTCTCGTTTTTCTGATGTTTTAGTTTATTACTGATACTTTATAGCTGGAAGAAAAAGAAGGAATGGATGAAGGGAGTGGGGTTGGATGAGAAACTTTGAAATTGAGATATTTTGGGATTTGATGGACATCAGAATTGATGTACTAGACATGTTATGGTCGTTGGTTACGCTAATTGTACTCAGTTCAATATCTTAGCTTTAAGGATTCATACTTTTCCTTCCTACGTCTCATCTTTTATAAAATATATTGCTTAAAGGCGGTGGCTCTTAATCTGTGTCCTAAAACACACAAGTGTAGGAGTGTGGATGGTTTAGAAGTCAAACCTCTGCCTCAGAAGATTTTTTAAAACCTATCCCACCCTTAAATCAAACCTTATTCCTAAAGAAACTCAAACAACCACAAGACTTGTTCATCCCCCAAAGTTACCCATCCTCATAAGAACTTTTCACTTTTTTTCCCTTGTGAATCTCTTCCTTCACCTCTATAAACATAGTTTATGTCTTTCATTTTCTTTTCTTCCTTGCCTTGTACAGAATTTTTTGTTCCTGTACACTTTACGTTTTTTTAAAGTAAATACAAACGAGGATTCTTTAAGAAATACAGCAAGAAAAAGTGTGAGGATTTTTTTTATGGGGAAGTAGAACGAAGGCAAAGTTATGTTTATATCTTTTCGTACTTAAGCATAAGACGTTAATTTATGTTCAACTCCAAAGGAGATTACAAGCAATGAATGCCAATAAACTCTAGGCCAAAGAATGTAATAACTTTAAGTAATATTAAGTTTGTTTATAAGATAAAAGTTTTCATTTTTTTAATAAAAATTGTCAAAAAAGAACTTTTTTGTGTTTCTTAATTTTTTATGACTTCTTTTACAGCCTCAACCGTCATCAATTAATATTTCTTTTATCTCCTTAATTATCCATAAAAACGTTCCCACCGAAAATGTTTAAAAACGAGTGTGCATGTGACGATTGCACAAGTGTTCATCGATGCTGTGTCTATTTAAAAATGAGTGCATCATAAGTGTCACGAAGGTTCAAAGCAAGATGAATTGAGTGAGAAGATCATTTTTTTTAATAACCTTTAAACAGTTTTTCTTTGCTACATAAATACTTACGCGTTATTACCGCAACATGAGGCATAAAAAAATTATGTTCTAGTTTTTCATTTGAGCTATTAATTTTTTAATGTTAGGGTATTATTTGTCTGAATGTCTAGGATTGGATTTTAGATGATAATTCTAGCAATGTGTTTTAGACCTAGTTTAGCTAATAGCTTGTTGGAATAGATGACATAGTTAAGTTTGATATTGAAATAAAGTCAGTTACAATCAAAAACTTTAAAAGATAATTTTCGCCAGTTATATTAATTTAGGCTAAAGCCTGCATTTATCCTTACTAGTGCACATCTCTCGAATGGACATGATGGTCTAAGCTTTGATCTCTATATCACTGATGGATATATATACTAATTTAAAAAGAGTTTAAAAAACCAAGCCATGTTTGATAGGAATTGAACCCTCATCCTTACTTGAGGTGATTTAATATTCTCTAGTCGAAGATCCTTGCCATTTAGCCACTGTGTAACTTGCCCTAGTTTTTCTATTAATCAAATAAATACAACAAGTTTAATTAAGAGCTCCTCTTAATGATCATGTCTGATGTTGTATCCATACTCAGTGATGGACAGGAATATTAGCCTCTAAAAAATTGATCTCCACTATAAAAATGCTCTCCATTCAATCCCAAACATACAAGCTCTTTTACTCACACCAATTTCCATAAACATAAAAATCATCTTTAAATTGCTTTCTAGAAACAAAGAATGAAACAAAAAGAAATCATAAAAACTCAGTCAAGTCATAAAAATCAACTATTTATAGTCATCAACTCGTTCAAACATCAAACTTGGTGACATTTTCTCTTAATCCTTCTGACAATTTCACAATTTTTTTTTATGAAAATTATTATTTTCTTCTCTCATCTCGTAATTTAATTTTTCATTTCTCGAAATATATAATAATAAAAAAATAAAAGAATTCCACATCTTCTTCATCTTCCTCGTTTAACTAATGTGAATATGATTTTTCCAAGTATGGGGGCACAATAAGTATAAGTCAAGGAAAAATAGAAGCTTCGTGCTGGAGTCATATAAATACATACCGTACTACATATCACCGTACAACTGCACGATGAAGAAGTAAAAAGAAGAAAAATTATAATTAAATGGAGCACAGAAGTTTGTTGTAAGTTAAATGTGCATATTAAACGTATTATATGCTGCGAATATGACAGTGCTGTGTATTATGTTATGTGCTTGCATAAGAATTTATGGGTTATGTGTGGAAATTATGTAAGTTTTTTTTTTCTATGCTGCTTGCATCAGACTGAGAAAATTTCTTCAATAAGTAGGAAAAAGTTTTTTTGCAGACTTAAAAAAAAATTGGAACGGAAAAACAATTTAAGTGAAAAATATGAAGAATATTTTGTATGGAAAACTTTAATATTTATGAGAATGTAATTGGGAAAGAATTTAAAATTGAAAATTCTTCTAGTTTCGAGAAGTAGATAATGAAAATTTAATTATTTTGGATAGAGGAATTTTGGGAAGTTTTGAGGAATTTTGTTTGTTGCTGTAGAAGATTGTGTTGTCATTAAATTCACACATCATTTAAACTTAGCTAGAAAATTATTAATAAATGTTGAAACCTTGAAAAAGGAATGACATCTGCTCCCAACCACGGCGTTTAACCCTGAGCAGTTAGAATGAATCCGCCTAGACTCAATTCGTTCTATTAAAGGCTTATAATAAAAGTAATAGCTTTTGTCGAGTAGGATTCGAACCTTCATACTCAACTGTATTCGAGGAACCATGAACTATTCCAATTTGCAATTCTTACAGCAGCTCAAGCTTCTTCTTACTTTATTTTTTTAAATTGTCAGCAAAACCCACTCAACACCTCATGTTCCAAGACTTTCATCATAAACTACTCAATCCAAACTCATCAAAACTCACAAACAAATCCTATCATTACCGTACAGCTCTCTCATTACATTCATTCTACAATCCAGCGATTATTATTCTTACGAGTACACCAATTCATGAACGGATTTACTTTTTACATTTCGCTATTTGTCATTTCACTTCTTATTCCACAACTTGTACAGTTTATGATGCAATTGCATTTGTTGCACGAGAGCAATGCAATAAAAAAATACAAATCCTCCCTGATAATTCCATCTGGAAAATTAAAAGTACATCAAGGTTTTTTTTATGCATGCAAGACGAGTTTTACAAGTGGAAAACTTTGTATGTGATTGTTTGTGTTTAATTCTGATGAAGGATGTTAATGCTGAGAGTGTGAGATTGGTGATGGGGGAATTAGAGGAGTTTTGTTTGGTTGATGTGGAATGAAGTTGACGGGATTTGTCATTTTTTTCTATGGAGATTGCACGCTTGGAGACTGAAATGACTCTAGAATAACCTTAGATTATCTAGACAGTCCTAATGACGAATTTTCTATTATGAGATTTTATTAGCTTGAATCTGTATCACTTGATGCCTAGAGATTGCTCGTGTAGAACCCATTAAAATTTCAAACAGGCTATTTTGTCAATCCTCAAAGAATTCAGTGTCCTAATGAATATGCATGACCTCTAAAGCCCACTTTTATTTATTGCTATTAAAATCCCTTCCCTCAAAAATTAAAAATTCCATTTCTCTCAAAGACTTTCCTAACTTCTACTTGTTCTCGTTTAAAATTCTCCTCCTTTTTATGTCGATTCCATTAAAAATGCATGAAAACAAATTAACATTTCTGTATGCACGATGTAAAATAACATTTAAGCATGAAACATGAAGGGTATGCAGCACTCAATGAAGTCTAAGAAAATATGATTAATAAAATAGACCCGATCGAAGACAAAGCTGCACACAATGTGCGTGAGCTGAGATGATAAATTACAAATTAGGGGAGATTTTATTGCTTTCTAATTGTGCGTAATGTTTATGAGCATGAAATGAGAATTTTAACAGCTATTCGTGTGTTTTTTCTCGCGGGAGCATTCTATTATGACATTATGATGTCACAATGTGTACAGCATGCTTATTGAAAAATAATTGGAAATGAAAATCTTTTTGTCATTTTTACAATGAGAATGATTTGATAATTTTATGTCGGATGGGGGAAAAGGCATGGAAATTAAAGAAGTTTGACAGTCAATTTTCATCATTCCCAACACGACAGAAACATAAACGATATATCATTCTCAATCTCATAAGGCATAATTGCCCCTCAAATCAATTTATATTTTCATCAGCTCTTTTTGCATGATTTATTGTGTTTTATTTGTTTCCACTTCTTCTTCTTCTGCTTTCTTCGAGTTTTTCATTCAGTTTTTGTTCCTTCTTCTTGTTCTTTAGTTTTTGTACATTTATTGAGTACAGCACTTGAAGTTTAGGATGAATATATTGATGAACATTGAGTCTTAAGTGATGCCTTTATGTCTTGAGTGTTTTTTTGTTGGATACGATGAAGATGTTTCAGACACAATTTTTGAATTGAGTCTATTGTTTTTTAAGGAAAAAGATTTTTTGGTATTTAATGTTTTTTGCTGTCTATAGTCAATGAATCTATGTCCAACTTTTGATTAATGTTACTGTAGATCTCCCTATAACTGCCATATGTGTATACTAATGTAAAACAAGTCGGGTTCGATGGGAATCGAACCCATGACCTCAAAAGAGGCAATCTCTGACCACTCGATCAGAGATCCCTGTCACTCGGCTACCGATGTACTTATCTCACCTCGGCTATACACATACTAATATAACCAGTTTCAACGCGAGCCCCATGCTCAGGCCTATCTACTACAGATATGCTCTTCGAGTCATATCTACATCTCTTCCCCTTTAGAAGAGATCTCATCTACGTCGCAAATGTGTACATCTCACACTTTAAATACATTTACTTGATAACTTAGTTCCAATGCTCAATTTTGTATTATAACTTTTAAGCAACTCCCATCCTCCAATTGTTCATCATTAAAATAATTATCAACATCCTACATTTTTTTACCAAATGTAACTTACATAAATTTTTCATCAAATCATTCCAAATAATAATTTTCCATCATTAAAGTCAAATATTTTCCCAAAACTCCTCCACAATAATCAATTCTTGACTGCTTCTTCGATCATCTTCAATAACTTTTTTCTTTCTTCTCGTTCATTGTTCAGTTCATCATCTATTCAAAATAAATAAAACCAGAAAATAAATTCAGAAAGAAAATTGTTTGATGAAGAAAAAAGTTTTTCCTTTTTTTTGTACTGACAAGAAGAAAAAAAAGTTTCAGAATCAAAAGGAGGCATAAGTAAATGAATGAATGAGCGAAGCTATTTGTCAAATAATAAAAATGTACATGACTCGAGGAATCATCGATCAATTTTATTTTTCTCTTCTCTCTTTTTATGATTTTTAACAAAATTTTATTTTTTTTTCCATGAATAATGGCGTAAGCAGATTGAATAGAAAATATAACAAATGACTCATAAATGGATACAAATTATTTATTATTCCCGTGAGACTTTTTTTTTTGCGCTCTGCAATTTTCCATATTTGCGTGGACTGTGATCTGTGTATATTTATTCTATTTGCTGTCGCATAAACACAATGCGTTGTTAGTAATTAAAAATCATTATGACGACGATGATGATGATGATGATGATGAGTAATCTCTGATGATTTATCAGATATAGATGTGCATTTAAGTGTCTCTGTTGGCTGAATGATGTGGATTTG